ACACTCCATCTCTCCTGTTGGCTCATTTATTTCGGTCATCATTACTACCCGAAGGGGGTGTGGGGTGGAATGCAATTTGCATGAATCGAAAATAATCAATACGTACACTCAATTGTGCATAGTAAGGACCAATTTCCACGCATCAATAATTTACATTAAGAATTCGATTCGTCATTTACAGCCCTCTGGTAAATCCACTGTTGGATGAAGACCTCCGCATGGCCACGTCCGTTTATGGGGATTTGTTTGACTTTACCACACTTCACCGCCCTGGTTAGCCGTGAACAGAATTAAACTTAACACTGTGTACAACATGAGTGAGTAATGCAATTAAAAGGACGTTCAGCCAATGATAATTGACTGTGCGTGAAGAACAGTGATCTGAACATATATGAAAATGGAGGGGACAGATAGTGTTGGGTTTCATGACTATAATATTATAGTTACTGCCTACAAAATCCTAGACAGTTTGTCAATCAGGCAGTACTGTACTGCTGCAACATGGCAAACGGCTTGATCCTGGAACCAGAGATATTTCGGTTTGGCATCGCGGTGCAGTATTGCCATTAATACATTTGCAGCTCAATGTTTGGCTTCTTGTTATGTTATTTGCAGCAATGCAGCACAACGTGTGCCTTCCCGCAGAAATTGCAGCAATACTGCACTTGCAGCCTAAACTGGGCCTTTTTTTGCAATAAACAATTTGCAGAAACGCAGGCCAGTGTTGGTCTTCTTCGCAGCATTTGCAGCAATACTGCACGTTCAGCTCAATGTGGAACCTCATTCAGTATTTGCAGCATTCGATAGTGTTTGCAGTAAAGCTGCACCGTGGCAGCCCAGTGTTCCCTTGGCAATCACGCGGTCGGCTTCGGACCAATCAGCGGCGAGTTGGTCGCCGGTTTTTTTTAAAACAAAATCACGAAATGTAAACAAGCTGCTGCTGCGTGCAATTTTTACTCATTTGGCGATTTCTAATTGCAGACGAAACACGTTCGTTTGGTGAGGGTCACGGCGACAAGCCCCGTGTTGAGTAGAGGCGGTCGAGACCTCCCCCTTTCCCTAGCGACAGACTCCAGCACTACTACACTATACACTACACTATTCACTACACTATACACGACTATACGCTGCTATACACAGAGTCTAGCTCTTCCCGGGGGAATTCCCAGGCCAGCCGAGCATATAGTGCCACCAGCGTGTCCTGGGCCGGCCCCGGGAGTCTATATATATATATTTTTTTAAAATAAAGTGCTGTGCTTTTACGTTTGTCAATTGAGCACGCAGCTTTGAATAACGATCCTATTAAATATCCGTTCACCGTCTGTGTTTAAAAACAAAAAAAGATAAAACAAAAATTATGTCTAGACTGCACTTGTTAATGATACCACTTTGCTCAAATGATGTATAATAACCGCGTGTCCGCTACTCTAGTCTTTACAGACCAAAAATTCACTGCTTGATTGAAGGCTTCCCTCCTCCCCACACCGTGTCGGTGAAGTTGGTTGGACCATACTTCACCACGCTAGTCGGTGCGGATTGATGAAGGAATATGGGTTTATCGTTGGGACTTAAACACCGATTCAGACAATCACTCGCTGGCCGGGAATCCAACTCTGATGGCCGGGTTCGTAGCGTAGTTGAACTTAGAACAACTTTGTTAATGGCCATTGAAGCGAATGAATGGACGGCACTGAGTGATGGTGGCCGCTAGAGGGCATTGCAACACAGCGCGACAAAGACCCCACAATTCATGAACAGGTTTGGCATTCTCTTTGGTTCTATTGGGTAAAGTCACATAGGTAAAAAATAAAATAACAAAAATCACGACGTTTCGGCCACAACACAAGCGGCCTTCATCAGGTGAAGGGACGAGACTGTCTGGAGGACAGCGCTGGAGTGAAGGTTTGGCATTGCCTTGAGAATTCTTAGATGTAATCAATGCAACAACAAAAAAAGACGTGCTCGCAGCTCATGCAATATGCACTAGTGTCACACAGTGGCACTAATACTTCAGCGATGGATACAGATTGTGCAGCTTATAAATATTGACATTTTTGCTATGAAGATGGGCCAAAGCCCAAAACTTGGCCTATTTTTTTATTTTTGTCCTTTAATGGCACAATATTATTGACGATTGTGCTGCGGTTTTTATATACAGTACATACAACTGTCATTTGTACTTGTGTACCACTGCCAACGCAGTAGTATCACTAAAATAATTTGGTACAGGAATATACGCGCGTGCATACTATTCTCCGACTGCATAGATTTGTTTACATTTTCACATGCTGAGCATGGCCATTCTGTTATGTATTGTAACGTATTGTTTGCATGTTGTGGACTGATTGTGGCACAACACGTATTAACACAATTACAGTATATCGTGGGGTTTTTCTCACCAAAGCAAAAGCCTTAAGGAGCAGGTCCAGTGGAAAATAAACTGGTCAAGGACAACCTCTGTGGGTAATCAGAGATGTACTCTCGAAAAACAGCGAGGTCAGCTTTCACATGCCATTGCTTTATCAATGCGGCATGCAAAATGTACATTTCTTTATAACCCTTGAGCTACACCCATTTCAAACCTTTAAAAACAGTCTGCATCAGCAGCAGACCATGCTTTCCCACCTGATGATGGACGCTTGTGTTGCGCCCGAAACCGTCGTGATTAAGTTTGTTTTATTTTCTACCTACGTGACTTTACCGATGACTTGAAAGAACCCAAAGAGTATGGATTCCTGCAGTCACGAAAGCTTCAAATCAAGAATGTACAATGAGTTTAGCTCCACGTCAAAAGCCGGCTTGCACTGAACACGCGTAGACTCCCAACTTTCATCAGGGGGGTGACCATGCTCGAGTGCATAACCTTCATTGGCTCTCCATGCATTATTGACTTGGCTCGTACCGATAGCCCCGGCTGGGTTGCCTCACTGTCAGGCCCCTCTCCAGACCGGCTATAAATGGCCTCGGAGCCTTCACCGGAACTCCAGCGATGCATAATTTAGTGCTCGTGGGTATAAACGTGCCATCAACATCGGTTGGGGGGTTGAGCGGAGAAACAAGATGATGGATCGGCGCGTGGGCATTAAAACCACTAAAGTGTGAAGGCGTTAGAGAACAAGCCTTACAACAACGATGATGCTCTAATATAGCAGCTCGCGGTTTTGACACGTGCAGTTGCAATATAGGGCGAGATTCGTTAGTTCGTATGTAACCTGTGTGGAGGCGTATGAGGTCAAAGCATTGGTTGGTCGTGTGTATTGGCCTCAAAAGCCAAATAAGCAACCTGTTGCTTTGAGTTAATAAGCCACCCATGATAAATTATGGAGGGGATGATGTGCGTGGCCCTAATGGACTTGGTGTAAATCGGTGTTTTGTCAAAACGCTGTTTTATCACAGCAATTATTTTTTGGTAACAAAATAAAAAAAATTCCACCACATCCGTTGTACCGCTGCACATTTTCCACAATTGGACATTTGGATAATGGCTTCATGCCGATGGCACGGAGGGCAGTGGGAAAGCCTCGGTGTCTACATTGCAATCCAATACAAAATGCAACTTTTAGGCTAAATGGATTGTTCTCACACTGCGCAGAACAGCCGAGTACATTGTCACATTCAACACGGAATTAAGACAAAAGGAATGGAAGTATAAATTCCCAGCAGCACAATCACAACCAATGTAAATAAATTCTTTGTCACTCTCTTGTGCAATAGTCATAACAACAGAATAACACATTATACATAATTTCAGCATTGCCCTGAAGCTCTGAGCAATCCCTCCGAGGATGATAAACTAAACGAATGTAATACTTTTAAACAAACGAAAAATACTCTGGAAGGACCCTGTAACCCTTGTGTAGGCATTTGGACAGTATGGCATATTGGTGGTTTTGCTAGTATAGAGTGGGGGGGGGGGCCTTAGGTCACATTTCCTGCATTCCGTGTCTTTAACAGAATCCATGTGTGCTGCACTTGGGTCCCCTGCCTCTTCACGCACATTCTGCAGGTCATTTTCTCAGAAGGCCGGGTTAATTACAACCTTGACACGCTCTGTCTAGCAGACAAAAACACCACGTGACGTTAATAATTAAGAATTACCAGCACACGTCGCTGTCCGGCAGTTACTTGGTTTTAAACACAGAAAAAAAATTGAGGTGACAATTTCTAACATTTCTCTGAAAAGGATATGTGTTAAGATGCACCTTATCAATACTGGATAACCATTTGGGTTACCACCTATTTTGGTTTTCCCAAGGTTATCCTCTTTTTGAGGAAGCTGTCCTGAGAAATGTATAATTCTTCCTGGGACATCAAAAGTCTCCGTTTTAATCATTTGCCTAATAATACAACACTCGTGACAACGCATTTAAATGGAGCTCTCCCATATTTCAGTCTTGACAAGACTGTCTTGTGATATTCTTCTCATGATGTCCTCGTATTTTGTAACTGAAGAGGTCCTAAACCCTAAGAACCAAACATACAGTGCCGCACTGACCCGCAAAAAAAGACTGAACTTTTACACATCTAAACTACACAATCTATGCCTTGGGACTTCTGTGTCATAAAACAGTTGTTAAAATGGGTTGGTTGGTGCAAGGCTCTGAATGGCAGCGAGTCCATTCCACCACAGCAGGAAGGGCCACCCTGCGCGGGACCAACGGAAGCATCTTGCGAGAGATGAGCAGGTCAGGCAGGAAAGTTCGACCCCGCCACGCCGGCCTTCCTTAACGAGGTGCACATGTGCAGGGCCTGGGTTTACACGTGCTAAATCAGCATGGTGGTGGTGGCAGTCAGGCCTTTCTCCGTTCCCACCCTCCTGGAGGCTCCACTCGCACTACTTGAATTGCCTGGCAGCAGCTGAGCCCCAGTGGGTGGGGGCAGAAGGGCAGGAGCTAGGCACTTGAAATGAAATAAGTGAGCCCAACAACATGTGCAAGACATACAGACACCCGACACTCCACTGAGCTCAATGAAGGGAAAAAAAATCCAATAACAAATGATCGCTTTGCCAACTATTTACAAAAAAAGTGTATTATAAAAACACTGTGCATCTTTGGAAAATATTTTACAAGAGAGAAACATTAATGAGTAAATCTAAAATACAGTACAGCCTTTAAAAAAAATTACCCCCATATTTACACACACCAACATTTAATAAAACCATTCCCTTGTAAAAAAAAGTACATTTTGATGCCTTAATAAAGAGAATACCAATTTTAATTTACCACTTAGTATCGCTTTGACCAAAAACCTTAAATTATCAAGCTGAAAAATAGAAAAAAAATCTACAGCATTTGACGAGTACTTTGTTTTAGCTTACAGGCATTCCTCAATGTGAAATGTTTAAGTAATTTAATTAACAGACCACTGGAGGAAATTCTTTGCCAAACAAAATATTACAAAAGTGGGATTCAAATGGCCAGGACCGATTTAGATTGGTGGTGGCATGCTCACCACAAACAGCTTGGTCGGCTAAATAACTCCACAGAGACACGAGTTCCTTACCCACATCTAGACACTCGACAGAAACAGTCCTTGCCCATTATCAGCAACATTCTACAAACAAAAGGGAACCTATCGTGACAGAGAGAAAACGGAGTATAAACACCAATGATACATTTTACTATATTATCTCGCTGGAGCTGAACATCTCTTTACTCAACATGACTGTTGCAAATTTAACCATGTTACCATGATATAGATAATTAGACCACATACTATCAATTTTATAAATTCATGACAGCCCTTATAAAATGTCCACGATTTTGTTCAGTGTCTTGTTTGGCACTCAAGGTGTGCATTTAAGGACACTGCTTGTGTCGAAAATCACTGCACCTACTACCTTGCCAGCAGTGGCAAGTAACTGCTGGGCTGCACCATTACCTTCATAAGCAAACAAGTGAGTTGCATTTTCATTCGATGGAATAAAAATTTAAACTGAAGATATTACCCAAGACGGACAATGTAATGACATATTGTTATCAAGCGTCAGAAAGTACTGAAAGTTTCTGTCATTTGATAACTTACAAATTGACTTTTTTTTACCAAATATTAAAGTGATTATCTACGTGCAGACAAATACGTTGTGAATAACATGGCAGTAATGCAATTACAATGAAATGTGGGAAAAAAAATGCTGAAAAACTTTAAATTTTGGCCTTGCCATATGAAATTTTTGAGTTTTATGGCCGATCCTACAGAGCCTGTCTACAATAATACAGCTTTAGCTCTCTGACGTGTTATTGAGTTGTGCCACATGTTGTTAGGCATGACTTAAGTTCTTCTGGAACTGACGGAAGTTCCTGAAGAACTGAAGTTCCTGAAGGAGCTCCCAGGATGTGCAGCCGAACATCAGAGATCATGCCAAAAAAATGCAGTATAACGCAAAACAGGCATTGGACATCTATACAGCACAGCCACAAAAAAGATCATGCTCTGCTACCTACCGCTTGTCCAAAAAAAATATGGGTAAGTAAAAAATCGTTCCCACTGGTAAACAAAATGCCTTGCAATTCAACCAAGCCCCCAAAGACATTCTATTGCATCTCCTGCATATTGTTAAACAGCATCTAAAAATATTGCACACAAGTTAACTGCAAATGCTTGAAATGTTTGACAGCATGCTATCTATACAGTATAATTGTGGAAACATTATCCCAAGCACCATGAGAAATAAGCCAAGCTCCAAATCGCATTAGACCAACACAAACCGGCATCACCCCTTAGAATTGATCCCTGTTCACAGATTTCATCACTTAATTTATATACAGTGGGTTGGAAACTTGTCCAAACAACACTTTCTTCTTGGGATGAACAAATTATACATGTGCTGGCACCAGTCTTCGGTGCAGAACATAGAGCAGGAGTGCAGATTTGAAATACTATTACGGAGAAATGTAAAAATTAATTGCCAAATCTATCATTGCTTCGATGAGCCAAAGCTATAACATCTCCTGACACGAGTGTAGTAAATGACCCCGCATTCAGTAGGCTTTTTGGAATGTTAGGAGCAAATTAATTGCCAGCGCCAGCAGTTAAAGGAAAAACAATAATTCGGCATAAACATCTAAACAAAATATTTTGAACTTTGAAGAAACAACATCTTCATAGATATTAATTCTGGTTAATGTGCACATTCTCTAATGACCTAACACATGTTTGAAAAGTATTGTTAAGGAGTGTTTACGTGTATTTTAAGAAGCAGTTATTAACCAAGATTAAAAGCTAAATGGTAAGAAGTGCAAATTTACTGAAGCAGGTGCTATCCCAACTTAGTACAAGACCAAGGTTAGCAGTTCACCGGGTCCACAAAGAACTCCACTTACAATAAACCTGCTATTTGATTGGCTAGATTAAAATAATAAACCCTTGAATGCACAAACATCACTCATCCCTACTTACATTTCTCAGCTGTAACAGGTTTATCAGACTTGATTCATGATGTTATGTTATTCAAACGGACTTCATGAAAACATGGCAAACTTTTGACAATTAGCACACAATTACTTTGGAGAAATTGAACCCGATTAACCTCAAAATTTGGTGGGTTAATCGTCTCGATGTGATATAAGAAAATGGCATGGCCATGCTCACGCTCCAAAGAACAAGAATGTCCATTATTCACAGGAAAGACAATTCTGAATTGTCCCCAAGTGTGAAGCCAGGGGGTTAACCCATCTCAGGCAGAAAGAAAATCCCACACCAAAGACGATTCAGCCCGGTTAAATACCAGCATCCGTGATGGCTCATACAAATCACTGTCGAAAACAGCTGAAGGCAAAAAAGCAATTCATGAAGGGGGTGGGGGGGGGGAGCACAGATGCATCACATCCTTTATAGGTGAAGCGCACTGGTGATCAAAATTAAGGGTCGCGAGTTAGTAAACATCGCTATTTGCTAGCGTGTATTAAAAACTCGTTTCATCCAATCGTAACAACTCTTGTGATTATTTTAAACCACGCAAAGACAGCAGAGGGGTAAAGAAAACCAGAATGCAACTTGATCCAGATGGGTAAGAAAAGTACTGTCGCTATTTATATAATCATCATCTAGACAAGCAACGGCTGCTCTTCCGAGGCCAGCCAAGAAAACAGGACACATCTTGAGGGGCACACCACCACATTTCGGTATTCTACAGCCATCAATGCTAAAACAACTCTGGGTAGTTCATGACGTTTGCCTATCTCCACCATGACTTCGACAAGCCACGGTATTCCCTAATTTTCACAAGAGAGCTGAGTGACACATTACGTTACAAAATTGCAATTTCACCAGTAACAGCGATGCACCACGAGGTTCCGTAGAGTCCAATAGAGTCCAGTGTTGGCATATGCATTGTATGTATAACTACTGTCGCACGTAAAGGAAAGGGGGGGGGGGGGGAGAATTAGTGGGTGGAGGAGGTGGTCCGGAGAGACAAGGCATTGGCGCTGAGGTCTAGCACTAAACGGCCAGGTTAAGGCGATCTTCTCCAGTAAAGGTGCTATGCGTCGGCATGGTCACCGCCATTCTCTTCCGTGTGCAGCTGTTGCTCCTCTCCGTTATCCTCTTGTGGTGGCCGCACCCGCTTGAAGAATCCCATCTGCAGGAGAGAAGGGGAAGTGTGAGGGGACAGTCAAATTGCTGCACCACACCAAATGCTCAAATGGCACATTACGAGCTTGAGGAAGTGATGCCGCATAGTGAGATGTCCCTCAGCTGTGGCGCCAGGTGGCCTGAACAACACAGAGGACATCTTTTTGTGAGAAGGTGACTTTAATTAAGCGTTCCGCACAAAACATCTTGAAAACTGGGTCGGATTGATTGTCACTTTAAAACAAAGATGTACTAGGGCTGCCGTGATATGGCGACACTACGATACATCTTAAGAGTATATGGTCGACAATAATCATATCATCTGTTTGGCTAAATATTATATTGTAATCATCATTGCTCATTTTTTTTCTTAAACATTTTATCATCACATGATACTTAGGAAATAGAAAACTCAATCAATTTCTAAATAAATTCTATTATACAGTCAATTAGTATTTTGTTACGTTTTTCGGAGTAATTGATGGCATGGAATTCCACCATCTCTACAATGCATTGAAGACTAATTACTTTGGTGACATTATAGGTTTTAATCATAAGAAAAATCTATGGCAGCCTTTTGGCGAGTGAACTGCAGTGGATGAACATGTAAGTTATTGTAAATAATCTTTACTCGTACAGCAAAGTACAAAAACAATACATTGAGAAATCTCGACTGCAATTACAAAGTCATGGGGAACTGACATCGTGATAATTGTCACTTCGTAAGAGTTAAAAAAAACATTGCATCGTGAAAAATTACATTGCAGCAACCCTAACGATTACCTTCCACATGGCGAAGACGAGGAGGGAGAGGAGGAGCAGCCCTGCCAGCACAGCCACGATGATGACCCATACGGGCACGGGCTGGTTACCATCCTGGTTGGCCCACGCGACACTGGTGGTGACCTGTGAGTGACATCGCCACTCGTCAGCACCGGAGAGAGAAGCGACGCCCAAAGCAATGGACAATTCACAACACCGAAGCGCGTTGGAAAAATGCAAATAAACATCAGTGAGTTGGTAATAACGCTGGGGTTGGAATGGCGGCATGAACTGCACTACAAACCTGGCATCTTGCGTTTGATTCTCAGCTATAGCTAACGTCAGTGGTGAGTCATATGTGAACGGGTCCTTCACCAACCCACACTGTCCAGCGTGGTGAAATATGGTCATCAGGCAGTGCATTGACAATGCGCAGTACATGATGCATTTAAATGTAAGTTATTTACGTGTGCACGTAGGTTATTATACTGACTATGCATGCTTGAGTGTATATATCGATTATTTATTATTCATGCATAATTGTATTTCCCACCCTTTGGGAAATAATGATCGGAATTAATGAGTCAATGCAAGAAAGAGTACAAACGAGACAAAGCAGACTGACGTATAGACGAGCAAGTAGATGAGACAGCAATTAAGACAATGCAGATGAGGCAATACAAAGAAGACAACGCCATACAGGCAGTACAGCAAGGTGGACTGCACAGTACAGACGAAGGACCGAGAGAATCAACACATGACTAAAAAGTATAGACGGAGCTGATGGTACGATAACATTACCTGGAAGGCCCCACTTGGGAGCTTCTCGGGACGGATCTTGTAGGGCATGTCATTGACGAAGAAGTGTGCCGCCGATTCGATGGTGTGCTGCTGGCTCTCCTTCTGCACTCGATCGAGTGAAAGCAGGCAGCGCAGAGAGGTAGTCGATTAAACAAAACTGTTTCAATAATTATACCAACGCGAAAATGTCATATGCTCACCCCTATGTGTGAAGTACAGTGAAATTTCACTTATCCGTGTTGATTTGGGTTCCGCTTATTGGCGGAGTATTACTATCCACGAAAATATCTCCGAAGTCGCCAAATCATCCACGCGCAAATGCAGATGTGCGAATTTGCCGCACGACTAACATTATTCACTCAAAACAATGGACGTTACCGCTTCTCGCAAGAAAACTTAAGACAATATGATTAATTCAGTGCTCGGAAACCCATACCTCCATGAAGGCTTTGGCCCAGAGGCGTGACTTAATCTGTAGCACAGCATTGTGGCCACTCTCCAATGTCTGCACCGTGCAGCGAATGTGCAAGCACTCGGAAGTGCTGCAGTTCTGCAGCGGGGAGAAGAGCCACACACAACAACAAAAAACTATTTGATTTGGTGTTGCTAATCTGGCTTTCCCTAGGGTTTTGTTTTCTCCAATACTTCAAACAAACAATTGACACTGACCTACATCATTAGACATCCTTTGCCAGTACCAAAATGTAATAATAGGGGTTTTTCCCCTTTTTTTCTGGCAACAAAACTGAAACCTTTTTTTACGAGGATTCATGTCTGCATTAACCACAATACCTGCAGTCAAAATGCAAATATAGTATTTGTTTGCATTTTGACTGCAGGTATTGTGGTTAATGCAGACATGAATCCTTGTAAAAAAAGGTTTCAGTTGTGTTGCCAGAAAAAAAGGGGAAAACCCCTATTATTAAATTGACACTGACTTTTAATTTAACCTCTGTGAGCAGAGCCACTGCTCATGTCCAAGTCAAATGCCAAACTTGATTTGTGCTAATTGGCAAAATGTTCTTCCCTCTCCCAAGTGCCAATTTCTTTTCTCACAGCAAAGGAAGCATATTTGGACATTTAAATTTAGAAAACCAGTACCGTAGTATGAATATGAAAAATACTAAACTTCAAATATGTAGATTTTTGATAATGCCATATGAGGCTGTATGGATTCAAATGTATTATTGGTGTTATTTATTCATAACAACTGCATCAGTTGTACATGACTGTTGCTCCAACACAAGATTTCAAAATATATCTAACAATGCTAAGCATTACTTTTTGTGTAAAAAAATATTACTCCTTGATAGCTGGCCATCATGATTAGTATACTGTGGTAATAAACACAGGAAATCATGAAATTCCGGAGGATATTTCTTTCATTTTAAAATGCAAACACGTTCCTCCCATTGTATTTTTGATAATAATCCAGTCCGAATGCGATATATATATAAAGCACCACTCACCAATGATGAATTGGCTGATACCTGGGAAACTGAGAGGGTGGTGGACTGCCTGTTTTTGTTTGTTTAATGATGTGCAATTTTTTTTAGCATGCGGGTTTCAGCAGTCAATCGTAATGCAAGTGTGGTCTTGCACACAAGCATATTCAACCGCTAAAGATGCCCGCAGTGGTGCATGGTGAAAGCTCGAGAGAACAAATGCTCAAAACGCGGCCCAACCAGTAAGGCCGCACGTGGTGTTTTTGTTGTTATCGAGTCGACGCGTTTGTGCCGTTCAGGCCACGAACCAGAGTCCTGGGGGATTTTGAGTCTGCCTCGCCACGTTGAAGCTCCCGGCGATGGATATCACGGGGGTTTTCCTTATGTTGGTTGCCCGTTTCATTCGCGCCCGGCGCATCGTGCGAGTTACTCAGCTGCACACACACAAACACAAACGAATCGGCGATAAGTGACGCTTAAAACAATAATAAATGGTTGCTCACGGATGGCAACTGCTGACACCTTGGTTCTATAATCTGGGTTTCAGCCACCCGTGATTAACTTGGGTTCTTAAGTGTGGTGCAGTTAACAGTTTCAGCTCCGTCACTAATTCACTGCACACAAAATACTATCAAATTAATTTGATTGTTCGATCCACTTTTGCAAAATTCCAACCCTGATAAGGAAAGTGTGCCCCCTAAGTGTGTGGATAAAGGTCAATTGATTTGATTTCATGGGCTGATGCGCAGCTCAGTCAGAGATACAAATGGAATCTTGATCTTATTATAGGACAACAATCTTATAATTATTTTATTTCCCCAAGCAGATGGAAGTGTGCAAATATTATCTTGTTGGAAAAGGTAACCTAGTTTACTGAACTGGTAGCAAATCCAATAATTAAAGTGGAAACATAAATTTTACGGTGATAAAAAAATATTGGAGGGGGGAAGCCAGGGCTCACTTTCCCATAAATGTTCAGCGCTATCCAGAGGGGACCTGTCCTGGTTTTACCATGATTGCCTTCAAGTTGAGGTAGCTGTCTGACATTACGATTCCTGTTTTTTTTTTAAGTTGCATAATTGCACACGCCTCTCTGGCCTCTTCCAGTATTGTGAGATATTCTTCTTTCCATGCTTTGTCCTGGTTTTTTTGTATCTCATTGCGGGTAGCTGTAGCAGAGCTGTTGCTAGACACCTTAGCATCTGGGTCAAGGTGCCACACACTTGCACCCCACCTCCTCCCCTGCTGTTTCGGCACTGGCACCACTCCGCCCAAACTTTGAGGGAATCACCTTGAGGTTAAGAGGATTGATCTTGCTCGACGAGTCAGGAACACACTTAATGGGACCCTCCGTGTTCAGCGCCAGGACATAGAGGAGGTAGTCGTCGTCGGATCGCAGGGGCCAGCTGAGATCCATCTCTGCAGAGCCCACGCGACTGGGCCCAATGTTACGGAGCTGCTCGCACCAATGGTCAACAGATGCATGTGGGGGGGGGGGGGGGCTTTAAACAAGTGAAAAACGCACGTGCTGCCAATTCCTCATTCTTGTGAAATTTTGTAAAAAATATTCTATTTTCAGCAAAAATGATTCCTCCACATACCAGCTGTAATTACTTAACAGATGTTTTGTTGCTTCAATATGACCCATCTCTCATTATGGTGCATTGTTTATAGACATTTGGCAGATTAAATGTAAGATGCCAGGTAAGATTTACTCTATTAATGATGGTGTGCTTTTTTCATGCATTGTTTTTCAGATGAACGATCCAAGAAACTGTTGGGTTTTTTGTTGCTGTAAAGTTGGCGCATGTTCACAATTATTGTGCTTGCCTTGACTGGACATGTGTTTCTACATGTAGTAAAAAGTTATATTGATGTGAAAATTACACAAGGAAAACTCATTATAAGAAACAAGAACCAGTGTTAACAATTGCTGTATCTTATATGATGCTGTATCTTATATTAATGTAGAGTGAAAACAGACAGCAGCTCACATACATATACACAAACAAGGCAGATAACTTCCACAAACACTCCCATGAATATAAAATGATAGACATGTTAATGCATTATAACATAGCACAGTTGCTAACACAGTTTAACGAAATGTATTACCTGAATACAGGTGTAGGAAATTTCAGGGAATTATATCATAACAATAAAATGCCTATGATATTTCACAGTACACTTCTCCCACCCCCGAATAGAAAAATATCTGTGGAAAATGTTTTCCCTAGAGATTTTTCATCATTTCACGAAACCCTTCCCTGCTCTCTACAGCAATAAATATTATAGGAATGAAGAAAGTTTAGAACTTGTGTTGTAGCCCTTATCACCTTTTTCCTATTTTTTTAAATCATGTATTTGTGGCATGTAGGTTAGTCTGACTCACTTGAGTGTGAGTGCGTGAATAAACGATTCATTATGAAAAGTTAGGCCAAAGGTCATAGCTCATACATAGCACACCATTAATACGATAGGTTCCTGGTTGCTTCCAGTCCAGAATGCACCCTTAACCCTTCCAACTCAAATTACTCCATTAAGTGCTATAGCAGACTGACCGACTCACAGATGGACAAATTAAGATTTATATAATGTACATAATTTAACATGTCCTGTATATCCGTGCAGAATATATGATTCTGTATTCGTGTACCTCATAAACATGCTGCACCAATGGTCCAATATCCTCTTCTTTCACAGGGTTCTCAACTGGCTCCCAGTTTATGATGGGGAGCACAATCTGATCGGGAATGGACACCCTGTGGACACAATTCACGCCGAGGTATAAATAAAATGGCATGCATATGAATTAAAGCCATGAACATGAGCCAATAACATTTGTCATGGTGTGTCACACATGCGTGCAAAGTGCATCACCAAAACTTGCCAGACACCACAACCCAAACCTTCCACACATCATCAGAACACATGTAGTGCTAGGTGCACTTTGAGGCCACGTGAAGTGCCGAAAGCTCACTGCTGGCAGGAGGTCACGGGACAGTCCAAGGTGTTATGGGTTAACCAACTGAGATGCACTCCTGCAGGCAGTAAATGCCCACGAATAATGGTGGTAATGTTAATATAGCAGTGCATTGAAAAAGCTCGAGAAGAGATATGCTCAACCTGCAGCCTAATCCGGAAGTGTACACTTGCATTACGAGTGACTGCGAAAACCTACGTGCTAAATCAGTGCACTAAGATTGAGGTTGGACAATAACGCAGGGTGATTGCACAATCACAATACTGTTGTCACCAGGACCATGTGGTCAGGCGCACCATGGATTTTAGTGTGTCTAACTTATGCTCTGATGTATAACACAATGTTGCTCATCGTGTGCAAAAAACAGATATTGATCTTGTGGATGCAGTCATTCCCATTCCTAATGGTCCTGCAATGCTACATATCTCCTGCAATTGAAAGTGGACGAAACACTTTTTTACATATTTTAATGCCACGAATGCTTATTCAGCACAGATGTAAGGGATCTGCGAGCCACCCTGACGCACACGCACCACGCAGACACGACATCGCCGCTCTCGCCAAAACACGCACCAATCACACGCGCGGGAATGCGCTGGATGGGGGTCAGGGGTTAAAGGGCAGTGACATCACCCGGACCAGGCGTGCCCGACGTGGATGTGTATTGTGAGCAAGGGCAGAGATGGGGTTAAAATGGGCTGTGGGACTCGTGTTCGGGGTTGGTTTTGGAACGAGTGTTGCTGTGCGTTGGAGAAATAAAGAAGTGCTTGAACCATTCTCCGACTCCTCTTCACAGGTACTGTGCTTGTAAATGTAGAGCTATTTGTGTTAATCCACTGCTGGATGAGGGTGACCCCATGCCCTGCAGATTTGTGGGGATTATAAAGCCATCCTTGACCAGGCTGCAAGGTGCAGGTTGGCGCAGGAGGGGAGCATATGTGGAAGCTTAGAAGCACAATACAACAATGTATTTTACAGCACTGCCCTCTGCTACCCATCACCTTGCCTTGTAGCTTACATAAAGCTGTTGGTGTATGGCGGTCGCCAATCCTAGCACTATCTAGGCTGAAACCTGCGTCGCTTCAGTTTAATGCGTAGGCTTTCACGACCAATATTATCCGTTAAGAGTTTTTTTGGGTTAGATCGCGTAAATATGTCCTTAAACCGGCCACCACCCGACACAGCCAATTAGTAAGGTTTGTAAACAAAAGGTGCCAATTTGTTACCAGTTCATCACACCGGAGTGTTGGAGAGTAAACCCACAATATTTACAATTCGAGAACGTTTCGCCAGCAATTACAACTAGCATCATTAGGCGGATGAGATTGAGGTTCATTTCAGGTAAAATTTCGGTCACACATAGGAAGCGTGATACTCACCCAACTAGATTCACTTGCGCGAACACTCCCACCGGCAGCACAACCGTCTCCGTATTGCTCTCTGGGCTTTTTTCATTGGAGCTGTAAAAATCAAAGAGGATTATTACTTCGAGTGAGTACTTTCTAATGGTTACTTATTTTGTTTCAAGTGTGTAAGCTAACTGCCAGCGTGATTTCTAAACACCGCATCTGCCACTACACATGTGCAACTGCAAACAAAGTGCATTCCAGCTCAGCGCTGTGCGAGTAGGGAGTGTGTGAACAAAAGTTATGAACCACATAGTTCATGTGTACAGACTGCCTCCCATACTTTATGGCTTAACAAACTGAATACACGGCCAACAATTCGGCCTCCGTAGACAGGTTAAGTTTATTCGTAACCATGTAGGAGACCGTTAAAACTGTCTATTTTCAAAAGCACTCTAGTTTAAATAAGTACAGAAAATAAGAATGTGTAAACAAAACAATGCAAAAACAGCATTTGCAAAATGTACAATCCAATCAAGACTAGACAAAATAATAAACACACATGTTCAATCCTCTACTGCACGGGTGGGGAACCTTTTTTTCTGCCAAGGGCCATTTGGATATTTATAACATCATTCGCGGGCCGTACAAAATTATCAACTTAAAAATGAGCCTGTTATATTTGGTCAAACATTTAATTAACTCACCCCTAATGCGACGGCTGGAACTGCTTCTCTTTGGTGAGGCGCGTGATGATGTTAGCTGGTATTGATGATGTTGCTACTCGCAACTGCTTTTTCAGGTTTGCTCTCCTAGATTTATTGAATTTTCGCGGGCCTTGTATGGCCCGTGGGCCGGACGTTCCCCACCCCTGCTCTACTGGGTGAAGGCCTTCCTACTCAGCCGCCATCCAAACATGGTTCTGAGGTGCCACAATCCACCACACTTATACATAAATTCTGATCTAAATAATACATATTAAACAATACACTTACAAATGTATTATTTTTTAATGGAAGGGTCTGACACTTCTACAATCTCGGTGGTAGACCAGAATAATGATGCATCAACTAATAGTTGAAATTTAATTAACACGTGAATTACATCATGTGTATGTATGTTGAACTTCCTTTGCACTGTACGTAGCCAACCATGCTTGTGCCAGGCTAGGTGCACCTTGAGACAGTAAAATATGTATTACTTCAATTGCTATATTTTGTATGTAATGGGCTCGCATCATCCCTGAACCTCCTTGAGGTACTTAAGTCAAATGTTAATGCTGAACCATAATCCACCAAAATGCAAAGTGGGGGCGATTCGTTAAACACTTAGAAAAAATAGCATATTTATATTTGTCACTGGAGCAGCACTGAGCCCCCTAACATTCAGGTGGCTTCACCAACGCGGTGTTCTGGGATTGGTACCTCTTGATATGGAGGCTGAATTGAATGGGCGACACAGCCTCCTCCAGTCGCTGAACGCTGAATCTCAGTCCAACCAGCAGCTGGAGGAATAGAGTGAGGACAGATTGGAGAGAACCCAGCGTCACATGGCTCGACTGTCTATTTATCAATGTGAGAGGATTCTCATACAGTCCGGGTACCACAGTGGCAAGATGTTAACTCCCTCGCCTGGTATACAGGAGGTCATGGGCTCGATCCCGACCCTGACACCTTTATATTTAGAGTTTGCCTGTTCTTCCCGTGGTCGAATGGATTTTTTCTGCGGGTCCTCCGGTTTTTACCTCCACATTTAATAAACATGCGTTAAGAGTATTTGGCTGCGATAATTTTCCACGTGATAAGCCACTTTGTTGCACTATCATTTGTGGCCTGGTCGCTTCTGAAAAAGAGCTATATAACTCAGTGGGCATTACCTGGTAAACTAAAAAATAGTTTTATAGTAAATAGTCCGTTCCCACTCACGCAAACATCTACGCCAATTCGAATGCACGTATAATAAAATGCACAGCCTAAATAAATTAAAATAAAAACAATTAAATCAATGACACAATGAATAGTGCACCCATATGCCACGCTTAAATATAGAACACCCACGCAAAAAAATGGTTACGCAAATGATACCCTTGCTGAAAATAAGACAGCTGGCTACATCCGTCAGTCCGTATTTGTTTTAAGATTCCCATCTGGTTCAATTTAAAGTAGTTTGTGGCGAGTACGGCACAAACGGCTTCCCGCTATCACGCGCGATGCGGGGCAAAAGTCTTTGGGCACGTGGAGCCTTACGTTGGTGCCTCCTCTCATCGGGTTTCCCAGATCACACACCACACTGCGGGTCAAGTTTTCTGTCTTGTACGCACACGTGAGCTTGGCAAGGGACTGTGGATGAGATGGAAAAAAATACTTTGGTTAAGACGGCCATGTTGCAGAACACGGCAAAGTTTAAAGTTTTTAAAAGAGCGCTGCCCTCATTCATCAGCCGTTCTGGTTTGTATGACGATTTAGACAATTGTCTTGATAATTTCACGTGGAGAAGGTTTATGTAAACGGCATAGATTATTGAAATTGGGTACCAGTATGCAAACACTGCAACACACCAAATTAACGACATCATCTGCAAGTCGTTGCTAAGACAAACAGAAATGCCAAAGCCTGATGAAATGCATAATCGGTAACATAACATCGTCTTTAAAACTGGATTCGAAACAAATGTATGACCACAAACATCAAATCACTTGTCTATGACACGATGATGGAATCATGATTTATTTTGAACCGTTGCTTTTTGTAAATCACGCATTTTTATGTCACAGTCCTTTAGAAAGACAATTTTTCTGACGTTTCATAGCTGTGTTCAATGTAAATGCATAATTTAAAAATATATTTCCGGAAATTATATTCCTATCGTGTAATTGGCATCTTGCGATTAGTTGAATAAATTTACATTCACAAATTTCAATGTGAGCAGTGCCCTTCTGTGTGTCAGGGAACATCCCCAGCAGATGAAGTCACGAAACTTCACTTAAATAGCCCTCTTTAGATTACACTGAGAGACAGAGGAATATATGGATCAAAAAACAAATACAAAGTATAGACATCACATTCACTGTCAAAGAAACTAAGTGGGCTTCGGTAGAATACACCACTAGAAGGGATGTTGGCCGATAGACTAGACTGGTGATGGAATGACAGTCAATGGAGGGAACATTCCTGAGATGGCAACTACTTTGTGCGGGAGGTTAGAACGAGTGTGGCATCGCAAGACTATGACGAATGGTGGCAGTATTGGAAGGCCGTTATCTAGCAGTGGATTGACCAAAGCTAACGATGATGATGACAAAAACAGTCAGTGTTTGTCACAGTCAGTGTTTGTCACATGCCAATCAAGCTAAAAAAGACATTTTAGAAGCTGGAATTAGATAAGTTTAAACAGTTAATGGTGACCGGGACAAAAGTATCCACTCCTTACACTGCAGAATTTGGTTTAATCATGGGTGACTAAAACCCAGATCCAATACCCACAGGAAGCTATTCACTTTGTACCAGTCCAGTGTTCAAATGTGGTATTCATGCACTTAGCTGCTCAGTCACCAAATCATTCAACCAATGCATGACATGTGGCACTGACCAGTGCAAGCCAGTGTTCTTTGTTTGGTTGTGCACATGAATTATGAGAAAGGCAAATATTCGTAACCCAAAAGTGGAATTGCGTCCTACCATACTGAAATGTGCCAATGAACCGAAACATGTTAGCAATTATACCAAATCATGCACTGAGTACCTAACGCAGCTGGAAAGTAACCAAAGTTCTGTTAACCAAGTCTTATACTCCCAGGCCAGGGGGGGGTGGGGGAAATGGCAACAAAAAAAAACTTCTCCTATTTCCACGTTAAAGACAGCTACAACACAGTGCAGATGGCAAAGTTTCACCTTATTATAATAATTATTAATAAGATTCTTGTACAATAAGCTACATAAATATATATATAATATAGCTTGCTTCCAAGAAAATACGTTGTGCTCATGTTCTCATGCTGGCAAAAAATGCGAGCGAACAAAAATACACGGCAATAAATATGACGTGAAGTGAAAGCGCAGTCACCGATTTAGCTTTCATATCTTCATCGGTCTTAATAACTATCTTACTCGCAAAAACATCACTCACTTTTTTACTTTCGCTGACTCCTAAAAACAGTGGTAAAAAAGTATGAACATGATCATTTACAGCCCTTTGTCACTCGACAACTGGACCAAGGCCTCCCCACACCATGTCAGTGATGGTGGTTGTTTTGCCATATTTCATCAAACTGGTCAATGCGGGTTGGTACAGTATGGCAAGTTCTGATATTGGGGTCATGGACTGAACTTGAACTTAGGTCGCAGGATTTAAAGCACGTTGCACTAACCACTCCACCTCCACTCACCGCCATTAATATAGCTATCAAAACGTCTGTATTATTAATACATTTTAAATCAAGGTCGGACAAGGTGTTTATGGCTTACAGGAATCTACTGAAACAAAAACGTGCATTTAAAAGCAAATTTCTGTATACGAATCTTGACAAAGTGGCTCTTTCTCCGACACTCAATGAAAAATTTACAATTGCAGAAAAGCACAGAAATATACATAGACATATTTATATACATCTAGCCAGTGTGGATGAGTAGGCCAAATACGCTCAAGAGCAGTTCTCTAGAGCTCCCTGGAGTGAATACCCATCCATCAGCAGTGGTGAGAGTAAGCACTTGTGAGAACTGTCCATTTACCTTCTACACAGACTCAAGAATGTTTTTTTTTTTTACAAGGAGCTATGGTCATCTTTTGTCCACCATTAAAAATACAAATCAAGAAATCACCACGAGAACAAATGCTCAGGTCACGTCAGCCCGATGTTGCGACACCACACTCCCGCCAGTATGCTGGGAACGAGCGAACGAGCGAGGGCCTGTTTTGCCAGATGGGTATTATTTAGGGTTTCCTGTGGCGGCCGGCTGTAATCATTCACGCCGTGACAGCAGAACACGGCCGATGCTCAGGGGATGCTGTACTCGCCACCCAAGCTATTCGGCCCCATGCCGCAGGAACACGGCACGCGGGTCAGAGCTTCACAACGACTCTCCAACAACGAGGCCGCCGCCCCTCTTCGTCACCGCAAAAAAGCACTGTTTTGAGAAGAAAGCCAAATGGATCGAAAGGCATTTTAAACAATGTCCAGATTTACTGTCAATGAGTAAAATAGGCAGCGGCAGGAATGAGCGTGTAAATCATTCGTTTCGAGAGAGACCCTACCGGCTACTATTTAAAGATGTGCCTGCCTTGTTGGACCGAACTGCACTGATAAAGGTTCAGCCCTGCAATTGATTTATCACACCATTCTTAGTGGACGGGCCTCCACTAGAAGGAACTCTAGAGGGTACCTTAACCTACTCTTCCATGCTGCTTGGAAGTGTCGGAAGAGGTGGGAGTACACACTCACTTTAGCCCACCGAATGTGGCCTACCAATCGACCATTTGTGGTGTTCCCATTTACACTGCTGGGTAGACAAAGGTGTAACCGAAGCTATGGCTGTTCAACATGTAACATCAAGTCCCCTCCCATCCAGTTGGATCCATGCAGTAATGCTGAAGCGCTTGGGGGAAAAAGGCACGTGTAATTTAAAACACGCATGCGTGCACGCACGCAACATGCGGGGAGGTGTAATTAAATTAGAACGTCATTGAGCTCATTCATCTTTCAACAATCTAAGGTTGCAAAACACATCCACGCCCTTCAGATCGGAAGTATGATTTAAATTCACAGGAACATGATAACTGATTTAAAAAAAACCTCAGGCAAAAAGAACGAAATGACCAGCGATCGCATAGCTGCTGGAAAAACAAACACTTCACTTTGATGTGCTAGACAAGCCACGTTCAGGCCCATTACTTAAAAAGGTCTGCACTTTAAGAAATGAATTTATACATATATACAAACAAAAACAAACATTCCTCACGTAGCCTACACTGACTGTTGGTATTCTTAGTGAGTACTGTTAGCGAGCACCCATACACATATATAAACACACGCATTTCATGCATGAGTAACATCAATCATGCACGCTGCCGTTTTGCTTTAAATATAACCATAAACTATTCATTGTAAAACATGCTTTTCCTTACGGATCTGTCTTCAGATACGTATTGACATTTTGTCCCGTAATATGTGAACACGTGAGTGCAAAACGTCCCACTGGACCGTGTGGAACCCTGCAAGTGTGCATGCGAGAGAATGTGTGCGGGAATAAGTTATTCCTCTGCAAGTGATATATTTGGTCTGTAAAGGACCTCGAAGTAGATTTCTACGAAAGGAACTATATAAATGTTCAAATGATTATTTTTGCAGTATCATCGGTTGTGCACGTATGCGTGTGTGTATTGCGGGAAGCGTAGGCTAGTGGTTAGCACTCTGCGCAATGAACTCGGTCACCCCAGTTCGATTCCTGCTCACGGCCATCAGCAACGATTATCTGCATCAGTCCCGGACCTGCCCTTGACAGACTCAGCTTTAAATGAATATCTGACACAGTGTGGTGCTGGCCACCCACCCCCTCATGTGCCATGCTGACCTCCACAAGTACTCGTTAACAGTACTCGCTACACGGGATGGGGGGAATCTTTATGGTGGTGCAGTGGTTAGCGGGGAGGGCATCCGGTGTACTCGCTCGTTGGAGGTCATCTTTGGGAGTCATGTGCCAACGAAAGGCGTTTCGTTGCCGGCACCTCGTTATTTCGGACGACGCCGACGTAATCGGCCTCGGGCGGCAGGACCACGTGGAGCTCCGCCTCGTAGGCGCCTTCCCCGTCGTTGCGAGAGTTCACCGTGAGCACCAGGGAGTTCTCGTCGCCGATGTACAGCTGCTTTCGGTCTCTGTGCAACCAGGGCGACGGTAAAAGGCGAACAAGGTGTGGCTCAACACATTGCTCGCACGAGTCGGGATTAGACGTGGCAAAACCCGGCCCCGTACAGGCAGACTAACGCCTGATTGCAGGCCAGGTAACCGAGTAGCCTTGAGACCGCCTGCCACTGGGGGTGCCCTTTGAAATGTTTGACATGAGATGCGAGTCGCTTACGGGCGTAAAGTGCCCCGCCCGATGCTTTATAAAAAAACGGATCGTTATCTCACTCCCCTGCTGGTGTACGGTTCTCCCATTACACCTCCGATTCGCACCTCCGATTACCGTGGTTGGCTACGCTCGGTGCGAAAGAAATTCAGCAACCATACGAATACTGTACAGTGTCTAAGTCCAAACGCATGAGGGAGCTCTACAGAGCGCCCCCCCCTCAAAATGGTATTTTTGGCCAACTCTTGCTAGTTGTGCAGCACCGATTCAGCGCGTGAATCACAGCGCCATTCTCAGTATTCAGACATAGGCTCTAAACTTTACTGGATATGAGTATTGAGCAAAAGGTATGATAGTCTAGGTAAAGGTGCAGCCCTGCAATTACATGTTCACACCACTGCTGGCGAGCCTCCGCTAGAGGAGCACCAGACAGCCCCTCTAGCCAGTATTTTGGCCTACTCTTTCCCACTGGTCAGATGTATTGGAAGAATGGGATTGCCCAAAATTGTACCCTATTACACATGACCGTCCAATGGATTGACTATGGTGCACCTACTTATACTGCTTGGTGGACAGGAGGTGGTAGGATTTAAGGAACTTGGCTCATCGTTCAACTGCCGTGCTGGGAGATCAAACCGGTGACCTCTGGATTGCACGTTCAGTGTGCTAACCATTACAACACAACAGCACGTCTTGAGGAGCCACAAAGAGACATAAGCAACAAGGAGGCGATGGGAGGGTTGGGTGGATGAGGCAATGTTTTTTCCACTGGCCATAGCCTCAAGAACGGTGCGGGGAGCCATGTTAGCGAAACCTTGTTTTTGCGAGAGAGAGAGAAAAAATTGACTGCCCAATTACATCATTAATATTCGAAGGTCAACATCGCTGGGCACGTACGTGTAGTTACGGCTCAACATTTTTAAAGATGTTGATGAACATGCTTACATAAACAAAACATCGTGATGTTTTGATTTATTATTTATATATAACAAATGTGAGCCGTCAGCTTATCAAACGAGTGTACGTTTTCACAGTTCTGCCTGCATGGTTCTCCAGTGTATTTTTAGTTCCTGAAGAAGCTCCGAGCAAACGGAGCTAAACCTCGGACATCGTGACAGAGCAACATGTGGGACATCCCAAAAACACTTTTGAGAGTTATCAAACTGTGCCTTTCGAACATTTTCATTTGTTCACCATCAATTTATTAATTTTGTGCCATAGAAGAAATGGATGCAAGTGAGATTCGCAGTACTCACGACAGAGCCGAGAGCTTGAGAGATGGCACGCAAATGTTGTCCGACCCACAGTCCAGAAGTATATGCGCCTAAAAGGAGGAGAAGGGAGTGATGTTAGATTTTAACATAGACTATCTCTCTCTGATCACAGTCATCAAACAGAGCAGTCAGACTCACTACTAATTGCATCCACAAATATGTTTAACAGCAACGGGGTCGGCAAACCTGCCACTCCGGAACTATATGCGGCTCTTTAAAGACCACTTTGTGACGTTAGAGTTTATTGTACCAAACTATATTGAAAAAAAAGGTTCTTCTTGTTATTTTGGTGTCCGACCACTGTTTTAAAGCGTCAAACTTTATATTCTTCTTGGGTTCTGTGTGAGAGGAACCCAAGAAGAATATAAAGTATTCTTCTTGGGTTCTGTGTGAGAGGAACAAAGCGCCTTGACAGCTTAAAGGCCGTATCTCAACGTGGCTCTTTCACTCCAGCGCTGTCCTACCAGACAGTCTCGCCCCCTTCACCTGATGAAGGCCGCTTGTGTTGTGGCCGAAACGTCGTGAGAATATTATTGTGTTATTTTATTTTATCAATTTATTATTTTATTATCATTCTACGTGACTTTACCGAAAGAACCAAAGAAGATGAATCATTGCAGTCACGAAAGCTTTAAATCGAAACTTTATATTGATAAAGATTTTCTATTTGCCCAGAAAATCTGCAATGAGTCTCAAGCACCGTTGTTTTTTTCGGTTTGACATATTCTATTTTCTTTGGAAAATTCCATGAATGAGTGTTTAGCATGTGGGAGGAAACTGCAGTACTTAGAAAAGAACCATGTGCATGAGGGTAACGCTCAAGACAGATAAGATTCAAGAACCATTGGTGTATTGCATTCTATTGGCCACCTCACACAGTCCAAGCAGACATTTGAATAGAGAGAGACAAAAGGATTACACAGTCAGAATATTAAAACTACGACTTTGCCACGGTAGTAATTTGTCATTAAAATTTCCCCCAAATGTTGGGGAAAAAAAACAAATTGGTAGAAAGGTCAGGGAATAAGGTGGGACAGCGCACCCCCCCCCTCCTCCACCCCCATCCTGACCTCCCACAACATCTCACTGTGGTGAAATGTTATCTCCATCCCCTGGTATGCAGGAGCTTGTGGGTTCGATCACGACCCTTGACGCCTGTCAATTTGAAGTTCGTGTTCTCTCCCTTGTGTTGGTCGGTGTTTTTTTTCCTCCGGGTCCTCCGGTTTTTCCCTCCACAATTATGAACGTGCATCGAGTTTATTTGGCTGCTACTATTAATCCCCCACATGTGATGATGTGTGGCTCAGGTCTCCTCTGAAAAAGAACCAAAAGCTCAGTGGGCTTTACTTGGTATAATAAAAGTTTAGTTTGGCAACATTATTTTAAAGGAAATCAGGGGCAAGCCTAACCCAATGCGTTGCCATACCACCACCCCATTCCCCTAATCTTTCATAGACTCTTTCCCCTGACCACCGTGACCTCCGTGACTAAACCACAGCCTTAGTTACGATCCAATTTCAAAACAGGTACCTACAACCCGCGTGCATCGAACCTGCTTCTGGATGTGGTCGGGGCTGAAGTGGTTGCGGATTGGCCGCAGCCCCTGGGAGGCTAAAGTCGCCTCCTCCATGAGCGTGTAGTTGAGGCTCACGGCGATAGGCGTCAGCTTGTCCCGGAACTCCGTCTCGTCCTGCGGTAAAGGTTGGGTGCCGTACATGACAGAGATGTTAAAATGAGAATGCTTCTGCCATCATCTCCCCAGTGAGAATGCGAGCACAGCCAGGTACTTAACATAATTACGGCAGAAAGTCTGCCTCTACGTGTAAACTAACATTTCTTCCTTTTGTTGTCTCTCCAGTGTGTTTCAGGGTTTGTCGTGAAAATTTATTTATTATACTTGTATCCCCAGCCTCACTGAATATCAGTAGGGGGCGACGATTGGTATGTATATTCCAATTGAATTATTATTAGTGGTAAATTTTCAACTGTGGCAAACATGGGCATCGACGCCAGCACACACGATGGCCTACTCTTGCAAACGGCAAGGATCTTTAACATTCACTGTGAAGCAGTCGGTGCATATATTTTGTTTCATCCAGCCACAATAATAACTAGGGCGGCTGTTGGGTTTGAACTATGAACCTCTGCGACAAGCGGCCAACGCCCGACTGCTAGGTCACGTTATCACCCAAAGTGGTTGCTGCATTTCAATTCCTGAAAAAGGCTCACAGCACATGGCGTAAAATATTAGCTGTAATGTATTGTACAACCAGATAAACGTTGAGGAGAGCTATACAGCATAACGGCGAAAACCTATGCAGTAGAACGTGTATTTAAATTCTGTCGGCCTATGGGACTTCACACCTAAGTTTTACAGCAGCACGAAATTTGTTTATGCAGGCAAACTCTGGACTGGTTTCCACCTGGCAAGGTCTCATCAGCTGCATCAGGCTTGTTGAACCAAATACTGCTGGGTTGTGAGATGTTACCGCAAACAGCACTCCAAGAAAACTGTGGGGCCCCCATTTTGTGATTATTTTTTTTTAAACTCACCGAATCAGTTCTACGATTTGTATGCAAACAGGAACCAAGCTCAGTAAATAATTAATGGAATTTGTTAGCGGTGGTGCACAGGCATAAATAAAATAACTCACCAGGTTCAATGTTAACAGTGCCCAAAAATATTATCACATTATATATTTTAATTATTTACAAAGCCTCTGTTAAAATTGCAAAATCAATATGCCATGACAGTAACAATGAACTTTATTATATTTTTGTTTAATTTGTACTCATTTTAGGCTGAGTTAATCTAGGGGATGTCCAATAATTGGACAGTGAATAAGGTGTCTGGAACAAACCCATGTTTGCTTGGATCATTGTGCAGTGTTGTAACCACATCACTTCCCACACACTTATGGACATACCACATGCATGTATATACGTAAAAATGACCCTCCGTCATCTAATCATTCAGATTGTATGGTAACGTGCTGTTAGCAAGCATCTATTAAGGCCAGTAGAGTGTTTAATGGGGTGGTCTGGTCAGCACCACGCCCGGCTGCCTGTGCCTCACTGATGCTGATGTTCACACACTGCACAAGGTACTCACTGAAGGTGCAACAACCTAGGGGAGTTCCAGGACTGGTTCAAATATCACTCGTCACTAAGGTAGCTGTGCTCAGGAATCAAACAACAGCACACAACGCCACCTAAACTCCCCCTTAACACATCAGCCCATCTCCTCTCGAGTGTGTGCCGCAGCCATTTAGCCCCAACTATCCAAAAAAGCATAAGCTGCTTGGGGGCATGCAGTGCTGGGCATGTAGGTTACATGACCCAGCCATCACAACTTCGCCTGCCGGAGGAACTCGCTGATATGACTGCATCCAGCGCTTACAAGGATGTGTAAGTTCTTCATGCACTACAGCCAGTAAACCCGGGATGAATCGTATTCAGGCAAGCCTGAATGTTTCAAGCTGGCGCAAGTGTTCTTGTAAAGGGGGCCACTTTATGCAACCACAGAGAAGAGGGGGTACAATGAGCACACACACAAGCCAGCTCCTGTGCATGTCGTTCAGAGCAGTACTTACACGAAGGTACACGGTGAGCTTGTTGCAAGTGGGGCCTGCTCCTTTGTTGATGGTGATGCGCTGCTCATATCGCGATTGCTGCGTGGTGGCGAAGAGAGCCCTCTTGATGGTGCCCTTCTGCTTCAGCCGGTCCAACTGCAGCTCCAGGTTAAGCTCTGCACATGGTCGTGCCATCAGAGGAGGTGGAGGAGTGGTCACTTTGGTTAATACACGAGGTGGTCAGCTAAGCTTTGAGAAAAGTTAAAGGTGCAGGCCTGCAATTGCTTGCCAACACTACTGCTAGCACAGCCTCGACTATAGGAGGCTCTAAGGAGCCTCCTCTTCCACGCTGGCTAGGTGTCTAGAAAGAGGTGGGAGTACTCACACTTTGCCCCACTACACGTGATCTGCCAATCGGCTGTGGTGTACCCATTTATACTGGTGGGTGGGCAGAGGTGGATGGATTTAATAAGCTTGCACACTTTTTTCAAATGTTGCGCCCAGAGATTGATTTGATCTCTGGTTTCCAATCACGTTGTGCTTACAATCATACAAAAAATTATAATAAATAAGCATTATTGTTTACAATCCTTTGTTTAGCCAATGTTGGATAAAGGCCTCCCAATGCTGTGTTGGACACGGGGGTTGTTTGACCATACTTAACTACACTGGTCAGGTTGGTGAAAAGAGGGCACAGGATAGGTGCAGATTTCACTGATGTAAGCCCTGGCTGGGAATCAAGAATAAGTCTCGAGTTTTGTAGTCCAGTGCGTAAATCGCTGCTCCACCACACCACCCCACAGCTAGCTTAGTGGGCTCAAGTCTGCGTTGGGGAAAATTAGTTGCCAATGCCGATGCCCTGTGTTTCAGCTACTCAAAATTAAACCAGGTTCTCATGCTGCACTAAGACGACGGTCTGGGTTTATTTTGCCATACACATTATATTTTCCATGCTATATTCAGAAAATTATTTATCTTGGGAGACTTTTACTTAGTCTCAAGATTGTTCAGGTTTGGTTACTTCCTTTTAAATGAGTGTTGTGCTTCATGTGGTGGAGACTGGAATGACCTGGCCCAGCTTTGAGGGTAAAAAAATGGAAGGTAAATATAACCCCCATAAATGTTACTGATTGACAAGCATGCTTAACTTGGCTAAATTCCAGCTCTTAGAGAATTAAAACATCTCTGTGATTGCCATGGGATGAACACTACTGTCCATATGCAGAGCAGGTGAGAATTTTATACCCTCTAAATGTGCGGACAAGGGTTCACTTTGAAGAGCTCTCAGAAGTAGATTTGTGACATCTGCTTCACACAGGTCATTCTCTAACACGAGAGGTTTGCACTGCTCTGCGAGACTTGATCTCATGAAACGATGCTCATAGCACAGTGGCATACGATTGAGGGACTACCATAACAATCATTTGAACGATTGACACGCAGCATCACAGAGCCATATAGCTTCATCAAATGTAGAGAACCGCTCAATCCGATTGAGTAACTGTCCACTGCACATGCACGGCTAATTCATGCGTAAGCTCGTCGTTCCATGTCTCACCCGTGGAGGATAGAGCGCCCTTGCCTACGACTTGCACGCAGTAATTCACCGTGAAGCTGTGACGGGAAAGGGCAGAGAGCAAGTCAGCGTTAAGTGTCGTGAATTCGGCGACACGCATGTACAACCGGCAGCACCCCCCTTCCCACGCCGCTGCGACCGTAATTGCCTGGAAGCACGGGGAAGTAATGAGGTTGCTTTTAAGTGGCATGCTTTTGGGTGACATTGTGAACAATATAAAAATCGATAGACAGCAAGTCGCCGGCCAATTTAACGTGCCCGGGGATTAATACATCATGGCAGGAACAGCAATTGAGTATTGATTGGATGTCGTTGTGGCACATGTATTGATTAGAGTTGAGAAAAAATGTATTATAAATCAGTTCCGTTTTACATGAAATCCAATTGACTGCTTAAAGTGATGGGATAAAACAAACATGTTTTAAGGTTGGGTTTTTAAAAAAGAAAACATTATGGGCTACAGTTTAAGAAATACTTAAATGTACAGTAAAACCTTGGATTGCGAGTAACTTGGTCTGCGAGTGTTTTGCAAGACGAGCAAAGATTTTAAGTAAATAATAATTTGATAAACGACCGAGGGTCTTGCAATACGAGCAGTGCGTATACGCTTTGTCTGCCGAGCGTCACGTGATCACAACCGATATACGAGTGCTTTGATATATGAGTGCTTTGGATTACAAACACGTTTCCGGAACGAATTATGCTCGCAATCCAAGGTTTTATTGTACTTTTTATGATACTTTCATCATGAGACCTTTATTGCCTTTTGAGAAGCCACACTGGGAAAATGAATTCCACACAGTATTGCCTGTCAACTTATTATCAATGATTTTGGTAACTGCAATATCACTGGAAATTGCATTTATACCTATTACCACACGTAATAGGACAATAATTTCTGGCAGAAAATGGTCGTGATTGCACGAGTGATACCATTCACCACCAACATGAGCAAATCTGATAAATGAGCAATGGGAAACCTTGAGATGCAGTCACAGTTAGATGCAGAGTATTTTAGGTTCTATGAGTTTTAGCCATCATTGAGAATACTGCCCAAATCAATACAAAGCAGCCATGTCCACTCCATTGGATGGAGCTACAGAAGGTTGGAACCCGCAGGGCTGCAGTGCCCATTTGACTCTTAGGAAAGACTGCCGCACCTACCCACAGCAACAATGCACGGGCACTGTTTGCAGTGGAGCCTGTGTGGGACGATAAGAAGCATCCTGTACCATGCGAAGGAAGATGTGCTCCCAGCCTGTTTGCAGTCCTTGCTTTCCAAGTTAATGATCTGTGGTTCGAGCTGAAGTTCTGCTTCCACTGTTACCACCGGACGTGCCCTGTGGAAGAGTGGAAGCATAGGCACATTCTTAAACATTTTGATTGAAGGTTCACAATTTATTTCTGACTCCCTGTTCAGTGACCGTCAAGTCCATTGTGTCACGTGTAACGTTTAAAATGTCACCACAGTCGAACTCAACGCTGGGGTCACATGGTGTGTCACATGATCATTTCTTCAGAGACCTTGGGTGTTGCCCCCCCCACCCCCGCCTTGCTTCGCTCTAATCCTGATGTCGCTGCTATTTCGCTTCTAGTTTAGTGAACGTTCAATATTTCAATCTGGCGGCACATTAACTTTAGACAACGCACTCAGGTGAGGCTCAAGTTGCCATTACGTTTATTATTATTACGTGCATTCAGTGATCCAGTGTGGAATGCACCTTAATTGACATAGGCTTCAAACAAACAACCATTCTTATTGCAATACATATACCACTGCGTCATTCAATATGACCCAGAGGTGCAATACAAAAAACACTCACCTGTACACTATAGCCTTGGAAGCGCCAAAAGCACCCACAACAAGATCTGAAATTACAAACATTTCCTGACATTTAGACAAGTCTCTCGGTAGCACTTGTCTCCTTGATGAAAATACTTAATCATTTTTTTTTATTTAAAGCTTTCGTGACTGCAGGGATTCATATTCTTGGTTCTTTCGGTAAAGTCACATAGAAGGGAAACAATACAATAATAAAAATATAAAACAATAAAATTCTCACGACGTTTCAACTGCAACACAAGCAATCATCATCAGGTGTGAAAACCACAGCAAGAACATTTGAAAAAAGTGGCGTTTTTTAACGTTAGCACCACGGAGAGCGATTTGGCAGTTATTCAGATGAACGAGTCCATCCATCTATGTTCGGAAAAGAGGAGGGGGGAGACGAAAATAATGGATGCGGTCTGAAAGCCACCGTAAGCGTGACTTTACCGAAAGAACCAAGAATATGAATCCCTGCAGTCACGAAAGCTTTAAATCAAAATTTTACCGCCTCTACGGAAAGAAAATGTTCTTGCTGTGGTTTTCACACCTGATGATGATTGCTTGTGTTGCAGTCGAAACGTCGTGAGAATTTTGTTTTATATTTTTTATCATTTTATTGTTTCCCTTTTACGTAGTGACTTTACTTAATCATTCTATAACCAATGTAAAAAAAAAACTACGTAACGCGAAAAACATCTCTCTTTTGTGTATACCTTAGCTCTGCCGTCCTCCGGTGACGCTACTCTGACAACATTTTAGCTACCGGAGGCCTTGATAGAAAGCTTTGGTTCATATAGTGGGGATGGAGTGAGTTGTATGAAATGAAGAGGGAGAGAGGTAGGCAGGCAGGGTAAGTCTGTGGAGGATGTTGAAAAGACCCACAACTTAACCCCTTTCCCGTTCCAATGACGCACGCCATCAGCTTTTCTTCCGATTACGTTGTTTTTTTTCATGGATTTTCTGTTTGCACAGTCACATAGTCACTTTAAGATGTTTTTCTTGTTCGTGTTTTTGTGTATTTGTTTGTTGCGAATGCACCCGATTCAAGAGCCGAATGGCTCACAGGGCTAATACCAAAATAAATAAACTGAAACTAAACTTAAACTGAAATGTACGCATGTGTACGTCAATGGCACGAAATCGGAAGTAAAGAGCCATACAGGACGGCGTGTGGCACAGTTTGGCGCCAGCTATCATCGAGTGCGGTTGTGTCAAAAGGGTTCTCTGCAATAAGTACAATGTCTTTAAAAACAACGGCGCTACGCCTCTCTAAATAAAATTAACGCTGAGCCGTTTGCGCGTTCCGAGATTCAGCGGTAAACGGGACCCCCACACACACCCCGCAACTAACTTGCAGACGTCTCGGAACGGGAAAGGGGTTAATTATAGTACCACCAGGTTTCCCCTTGCATAACAAATACATAAACTCGGTGGCCGCTCAACTAGTTGAAAGAAAGGTGCCGCACCACACAAGTCACCTGGGTATCCGTTTTTGTCCACGTCGACTGTGCCGCGCAAGGCGTAACCGAAGCTGGAGGGCATGCTAGTCCCTGGCCACTGGCTCTCCAGCACCTGCGAAGGAGCTGGCTTTAGCCCATCCTTGTCGCCGTTGTAGATGTACACGAGACCCTGCCGGTTCTCTCCGCCAAAAGGGATCCCGACCGCCACATCTGCCAAAGGAGAAGAAAAAAAAATCAATATTAATCTTACCAATAAAAGGCATTTTTTTTGTCTGTCTGTGTGTGGACGAAACTTACGAGGGATTTGGCTCGCAAACCGTGGGGTTTACGTTTAAAACAAGTAGCCAGGTACAACGCCATAAGCCTCGTGGTGAGCCAGCGCTATTTAATTTTTGCATCCGTCAACTTGAAAGTAGTTAAATTAGCTATTAATAGCTATTATTTATTTATTTCCTTACGCCGCTCAGCACGCGACAAAGCTGACCGGGGGTTGCCCCTAGCAACGCACACGCGCGAACGGTGGAGGCGGGAGTGAAATTCTCATTCGTGTAAAAAATTAAATACAAATACACAAAACGCTGAGGTTAATTCTTCACAGTGTGATGTCCTCTTCTCCCCCTCCTACCCAATGTGTGCAGTTACTACTATAGAGTTGGTAGATGCTACTACTATAGTCCGTAGATAACCACTGTAGAGCGGGCGGGGGGATGGTGGGCGGGGGGGCCAGGGTAGCGGCCCAGTCCCAGCCTGCCAAGGTGCCACCTCGGCTGGCTGGCCAATCTAGGCGAGACCGGGGGCTCTGCACGGGACTAGGCCTCACCACTACACTCTGTGAAGTGAGTACTATTACAGAGTCGCTATATACTATTCTAGAGTCGGTATATACGACTATAGAGTGGGTATATACTACCGTAGAGTAGGTAGATACTACTGTAGAGTTTGTAGGTACTGCTATTGTAGAGCGGGCGGGGGGGGGGGGGCGATATAGCAGCCCAGCCCCAGCCTGCCAAGGTGCCATCTCGGCCGGCTGGGCAATCTAGGCGAGGCCGGGGGCTCTGCACTGGACTAGGCCTCACCACTACACTCTGTGAAGTGAGTACTATTATAGAGTCGATATATATAGTATTCTAGAGTCGGTATATATGACTATAGAGTGGGCAGATACTACTACAGAGTAGTTAAGATACCGCTGTAGAGTTTGTAGGTACTGCTACTGTAGAGCGGGCGGTGGGGGGGGGGCGGTATAGCAGCCCAGCCCCAGCCTGCCAAGGTGCCACCTCGGCCGGCTGGGCGATCTAGGCGAGGCCGGGGGCTCTGCATGGGACTAGGCCTCACCACATCTGTGTGCGTGTCTGTGTGTGTGTGCTGTCTGTGTGTGTCTGTGTGTGTCTGTGTGTATGTGGTGTGTGTTTTTTTTTGGTGTCTGTGTGTGTGGAGTTCCAGCCTTCATAGCTACTAATGTGCTGTATGTCTGTGTTGGTGGCTGTGTGGTGTCTACCCCCCACTTTATATAACTTTTTGGACTTCTGCAAGCCTCTTTACATTTTGTTGATGGACAAATGGACAAACGGCACGCCGGGCTTTCACAATAGCTTAGTATTTGTGTATGTATATGTTATGTTTTTAAGAGAAGTTTTGAAAAAAAAATGTCCCCCGGGCAACGCCGGGTAAATCCCGCTAGCCAATTTATAAAATGTTAAAAAATGCACAAAATGTAAAAATAAAATAATGATTTAAATGTAATAAGTATTCTTGCACTCATGATACAAGCATACATTCATGCATCTAAAAAGCAATACATTACTATTTAAATATATTGCATGTCACATGACCCCTGCAGCCATTAGGGGTAATTGCATTGCACCACAATGTAATTTAAAAAAACCTCATTTGAACTGAAATCATCACTCATTCATTTAGCATATCCTGGCAACTACAATGAGTACCTTTCATGTCCTTCAGTCTTGTGCCATGCTTCATACAGCTGCTACATTCATTCCCAGCTTCGCAAAAACACTATCTTTGTCATCGTGGTCAGGGCCTTCATTGACGCTTCTTCCCAACACACTTTCCTTGGGTGATAATCTCTTCTGGCTACTGATGCCTCTTCTCACATGCCAAAAGCAGTAAGGTTTTCTATGGTGTACTTCTCTTTCTATTTGCCATTCTCCCAGTACCGACTCATTTGTCCTGCATGCCATCCAAAGAATGCGGAGTATGCGCCTCAATTATTGCATCTTGAAAGAGTACATCCTTGCCTCATTCGTGCAGACCAGTTGTTATTTGTTATTTATTAATGCGTCAAGTACCCGTTGCATGGGCTGTTGTGGTGGGACAATAATTGGTAGGACCCCAAGTCCTTCCACCGAAAAGACTTAGTTTCAGCCGGGTATGTTCGGGTCAGTGACCCAGAAAAAAAATCCGCACCCAGAAATACGACAACAACAATAAGCATGAATGGGACCTGGTTTTCTACACGAACAGGTATTCTGACATGATGTGATAATGCATAGGCATTGGATTTTTGTTACCGGATTCCTAATTTAGGTTTCGGCCCCCGAACTTATGTGTCGTCCCCCCACAGATGTTGCCATGGTGTAATGGTTAGCACACTAGTGGACTTGCAATCTAGAGGATGCTGGTTCAATTTTCCAGAGCAGCATTTGAAATAATGGTTAGTTTACTTAAAATCCCACGCCTCTGTCGACTCTGAGTTATGAATGTGTACACCAGTTAGCTGATCTGCAGGTGGCATGTGGTGGGGTTAAGTGTGGATACTCCTGGCTCTTCAAAGACATTTAGAAGGGGTGGAAGGGTCGGCTAAGTTTCCTGTAGAGGTAGCTCGCCAGAGCTCCATTTAGTACAGGTCCTTCTGCCCCCAGTGGTACGAGAAATAAATTGCAGGGCTGCACTTTTACCCCCCTCTACAATCCTGTCTCTATGCCTATTTCATTCTCCCAAAAACCCAGGAAAGCTAATACAGTTAAAACTTAGGACCTATACTAAACTATGTTTTTTTTTACCAGGTAAGGCCTGACTGAGCTATTTAGCTCTTTATCAGAAGTGACCTGGCCACAAACGATAGCTCAACGAAGTGGCTCATCACGTGGAAATGCACGGCAGGCGTAATGATCTAAATCTAGGAAACTTTGGCTGCCACATACCATTGAAACCGTCCTGGTCGACGTCGCCCAGCGGGGCGAGTGCGCTGCCAAAACGCGAGTACATCTCTTCGCCCGTGAATCGCTGCGGCTCACGGAAGGACAGTGTTCGCTCCTGCAGGAAGAGGTAAACGCGGCCGACCTCACGCAGCTTCCCGTCCGAGCCGCGGTCCATGAAGAGCGGCGCTCCCACCAGCACGTCTTCCAGCCTGCGGCAACGAGATCCGACAAACGGGAGGTGATCCAAGTGCTCGTTGCCAGACTGGTAAGCAATGGAAATAATCTATTTACATTTTGGTACGTTTACTTAAATACGTATGTATATTTATAAAGTTCCAAATGTGCCCATTTGCAATGTCAAGACGATTGCATTTCCATTTGAAATGCTTGCAGTAAAGCAATGTGACACGTTAGAGAATGGTTGAAAGTAAACGGTCTCAGGAAGTTGTTTACACAGAACTACTTCTAAGATCCTTTCGTGAAAATGTATTAAACACTTTAGAGGTGTTCATCACATGGCAATGATACTTTTTTCATTCCGAGAGTAGGACAGAAGTCTAATAAAGTAAAACCGAAACATCATTCGGCGATCAGGCTGAGACCATCAAATTGTTACAAATAAGAACCTGGCTCAATCAAGGTCAGTTGCACAAACCTGAACACAGGATCTCAGTCGTCCTGACTCAGTGCTTTAACAAGTTATTAACCCTCTAAGGACACCTGTCCCCTCCTTGTTGGCATGTTTTGGATAGCTTCCACAACTACTTCCAATCTGACGAGAGCTCACTTAATTACCAAGAGCTCGTGTAAAAGCTTTTGGTAATTAAGATCTAAAATAGCAACAACACCTACAGCTGGAAGGATTACGAAAAACAAGATCACATGATCCACTCACTATAAATACACTATTGAAGTAGAACTAAACTGCACCTCCGGGTTCTGTTGATATAATAATATAGACACCTACAGCTCGAGACCGACTGCCACTCAAGTCTAGGGCCTATGACTATGTACAGTAAAACCTTAGATTGCGAGCATAATTCGTTCCGGAAACGTGTTTGTAATCCAAAGCAGTCGTATATCAGTTGTGATCACGTGACGCTCGGCAGACAAATTGTATACGTACTACTACTCGTATTGCAAGACCTCGCTCGTTTATCAAATTAATATTTATTTAAAATTTGTGCTCGTCTTGCAAAACACTCGCAGACCAAGTTACTCGCAATCCAAGGTTTTACTGTATATTGTAATGCAGCAGTTGCAGCTCTCTGCCTTGTAAGATGCCTAAGAACAGTATGTCCATAAGAACATAAGCAGATAAGCGGATAAGCATTTAAGAAAAAAGAAATGACCATTCAGCACAGCTGCTTATCCTGTCTGGCCACAACAGCTGTTTACTTGCTTCTAAACTCATGAGACATTTTTGTTAATCCCACGTCTGTGGATACAGATACAATTACGAGCATACACGTACAGTGAGTACCACACTTATCACGATGCCTCCATTCAGCAATTCATTTTTACGCTCGTGATACGCACGACAAATTATCTGTAGTTTTTAAAAACGACAAGCAAATTATAAGTTACATATAGGTTAATGAATGGGGCAGACAAATCGTGTACAATCAAAATATAAAAAACATAGCAAAACATACAAATGATGTTAAAACCAAGACAAGAAAATAAGAAATGTGATCTAATCGCAACTTCGAATCGTCAAAATTTTAAGAATTGGCGAAAGGGGGAGGGGGGATGTGATGCTCAGTTGCGTGCCGAGTGGGAACAAAATCAATGGCCGCTATGTTAACCGGTGATGAAATGACTAAGTGCAGCAGATGCTCGGCTCATTTCCACTTCCCCCCGTGATTAATTTAACATCCCCCGAGCCATCCTCCACTCACTTGTCTCCATTGACGTCTGTGACCGCAACGCTGAATCCGAAGTAGGAGGCCATCTGCAAGGCGGCAACCAGAGAAGGGTCAAGGGATGTTCCGTTCACGAGATCTAAAACAGGGGCGCAGATATCTCGCAAGCGAGTCGAACAGTTGAATCAACCAAGCCCAGCCATATTACCTGTTCGCCAGAAAAGTTATACAGGGACGTCATGTTTTCACCGTCTAAAATTCCAACCTGAAAAGAAAAGAACCAAATGAGGAGCACAGAAGAGACATTTGGCAGTGCGATGACGTTATTAGCCATTTGGGGGTCCGGTGTACATGCAAAAACACATTTTACTATTTGTAAATAATTCATACATTTCCTTTTTGTCTGTCACTCCCAAGATCTTCTGGTTCAACAGTGCCTTAAAAAAAGTTGCTCTATTGATTTTTTTTTTGCATCGCAATGCACCAACTGCAGTCATAGAATGACCGTTACTCTGCTGTACTACCACGAGAAACAGATTAACAAAATGCTACCTTCGTAACAAAGGGGAACATTTCAGAAAAGTTCAGCCAACTTGTAAATCAATTTTTAACCTTAGTGGACATGAGCCAGACCTTACTTTTTAGTTACTTTCTCCTGTATAGACTAACATAGGAATGTGCTGGCCTGTCAGTTAGATCACAACTTACGTATCCAAGTGTCCGAAAGCCTTTCGGTACACCAGTCACAAAATCTGTGGTAATGAAATAAGTTAACTCAATTAGTACAAAAGAAACGCCTGTTGATTTTGTGAAGAAAATCATATACGTAAAAATATCTGCTAGCAGTAACATTTAAATATATAAAAGAATGTGAGGAACGCACCTTGCTGATTGTCACCGGTAAATTCTCCCACGGTCACAGAATAGCCTAGTTTGTAAAAATAAATATTAAGAGATGAATACACCACATAACAAGCTTCAAACTGCCTCTTAACATATATACTTTTTTTCAAATACTGGGTGTAGTCTTTAAGTGAGGGTGTGCTATCAATGGTGTTTGCAGAAAGACAAAAAACTGCTTGGCAACAAGGTTATCAGTATACCTGCAAAAAACAACACTGAATGGCTGGAGTAGCATCATAGGTAACTAGCAAACTATGGAATATGAAGGCAAAAACAGAGCATAATCCTGACATTCAGTTGTACATCATTCTCCAATTTGTACAGATTCATGGCCACAATGTTGATATATATAAACAATAGACTTTAAAACTGTTCGCACAATACTAATTTATACGTGAAAATATCGCCATTGCTCATTGCGTGCCTCCACTGCCACCCGCTCGCTATATGAAAGAAAACAATTCGATTTCTCTTTTTTTTCTCAAAAGGGATAAGGTTAAAACCAAGGTTGAAGGTTAAGCAACAACAAAAATCCACCATTTTGGAAACTAACTCACGAACATGTGAGCTCACAACTGACAACCAACGCTTTACAATCTTACCGAGGTAGCTGTCATCGTAGCTGGGAGGGGCAGAACTGGTTTGCTTCTGTCCTTCAATGCTCCGCACCATACTTTCTGAGGTAGGGTCTTTCATCACTGCCTCAGAGGGGGCCGTGATCAGCTGCCCTGCAGTGAGGAATGTCTGTGTGACTCAAGGCCGGCATTGTGATTATAACACTGAACACAAGACCCAATTTTCATGTAAACATTACCCTGTGTAAAAAAAAAAATTTAGAGCCCTGTCCGTCTCACGCATGCGTGGATATTGATTGCACACATTTTTACACACATCTTTAAAACTGAATAAGAAATATGCAGTGTTATGGAGTTGTACTTTACTCTGACAGCTTTGCTAAACTAAAGGATTGCATTTACCAGGTCAATCTCTTTTTCAGAAGTTGCCTGGCCACAAATGATAGCTGAATGAAGTGGCTTAATTTATAGCAGCCAAATAATCGGAACACAAGTTTCTAAATGTGGAGGGAAAACACCGGAAGACCCCGTGAAAAATCTACGCGACCACGGAAAGAAAACGCAAACTCCAAATAAAACAAGCGTCAGGGTCGGGATTGAACCCACGACATCCTGCATACCAGGTGAGGGAGATAACATCTCCTCGCCACCATGATGATGATGAGAGAAAGAGAGAGACGCAAACTCCAAATAAAACAGGCGTCAGGGTCGGGATTGAACCCACGACCTCCTGCATACCGGGTGAGGGAGATAACATCTCGCCACCGCTATTCCCTGCCACCTGGGTGAGCACCTTCATTGCCCACCCACAATGCCAGGCCTGCTGCCAACCATAAATAACTGTGCCTAGCTTGCTTGACACTGTTTCAAAATGTGGTTACATTGATATTTAAAAAGTGAATGGTGACCGGTCAAAATTGATGTTTTTTGTCTATTTTTAAATGTTACACCATATCACACATGTCACACGAGTGAACCAAACGCCAGCTGAAAACATAGTTGAATACAAATTTCGAACTGGTTATTAGTTGTTACAATAGACTTTGGTATATTTACACTATGTTTCATATCCAAACACATAACATGTTAAATGGAAACCACCACAGCAGTCATTTTAAATAAAAAGCATCACTAGATTATCATATTTAACCTATCTTTACAACATCCAATGTGACAAGTAGAGAGATTAATGATTGCTATGCAGTGGTTTTGCTTTGCAATAGCAGTTTCAGTCATCCACTGTCAATGGATGACATATTTGCTATTATAGTATTAAGAAATGTATCGTTTTATTTTTAGTTAAGTGGGCGAAAGCTTCTTGAGATACAAGTGAATCTTGTGTCTCTGAAATGTTTCATATACAGGAGTTACAGTTGGGCTGTGACAACGGAAATACAACAGACTTATCTCAACAGTTAATCCAGGCAACATTGTACCACTTATATACATGTATAAATAAATGAATTATATAATCCAAATCAGCATAAGCATTTTCTTCATTTAACTTTCATCTTTCCAATTATATATATACATTTTGTGACAAATATCAGGTCATGAGACCGGGAAAAATCCATTGGAACTGGCAAACAATGTATTATCCCGTCAGAACACTGCCCGAGAAGATTACGTCATGGAACTACAGTAAAACCTTGGATGGCGAGGAGTAACTTGGTCTGCGAGTGCTTTGCAAGACGAGCAAAATTTTTAAATAAATATTAATTTGATAAACGAGCGAGGGTCTTGCAATACGAGTAGTAGTACGTATATGCTTTTGTCTGCCGAGCGTCACGTGATCACAACTGATATACGAGTGCTTTGCTATAGGAGTGCTTTGGATTACAAACACGTTTCCGGAACGAATTATGCTCTCAATGCAAGGTTTTACTGTACTTCTGAAACCACTTCAACAGCTCATTCACACATGGGGCCTATCCTTTTTGAACACCTTGCCAATATTATTCAATATATGTCAATCAAACGAAACATTTAAATTTTGACAACTATAGTTTTTGCCAAACGAAGTAAACATTTTCAATCTAATTATTTCTTGAACACAGTTAATGGTGACCAAGCTGGGAATATTAATGAACTCAACAACATTTGACAACCCAGTTTAATCATGGGCCCCACCTCATTGCTCTGACCACAGAGCCGCTCGATCATCACATATTTACACAACTTAAACTGAGATGGAAATATTTATTTGTTTTTCCAACATCAACTAATTTTCAAGAAAGATCCACTCACAAATATTACTTTTCCCACTGTTCGGGGCAAAAAATAAATGGAAGTATTTCCTGGATCTTGCCGAAAAGCTTACGGCTCTCCGTTTCTGGAGTCGACTGGCCAGCTACAAACTATGCTGTCCCCCCCTCCTAATATCCAAGGAGAACAACATTCATTGGCTGGCAGAGGAGTGCACTAACCTTGCCAGTAAAAGCTCCCAGGACCTCCGAGCACCACCCGACCAGACTGCAACACAAGACACCGTCTCAATACAAAGGAAAATTAAAAATAATACCGTGCAAGTCCAAGGCAACGTTCACATGCGCGCACACACACACAAAGATCTCCTATATAGCCCTACAGACTGTTGGGGCAAGGGCTGTTAGCAGGAACCTATTAAGGCTAGCATGGCACACGAGGGGGTAATATGACCAGCAACATGCCTGGCCTAAATTGTCTCCCCAATACTGATTTCAACACATCACAGCAGGTACCCAATTAAGGCGGCGTCAACCCAGGCGAGGTCTAGGACAGATTCAAATATCCATCACCACTGATGATAGCCGTGGCTAGGAATCAAACTCAGTTTTGTCGGATTCACAATGCAGTGCGATAACCACTACACACACATGCACACACACAAGCTCCACCATTTATCATAAAGGGAAAATGAGTTATGCATCCTGTTGCAGGGCTCACCTTAGTGAAGTCCACACTGAATCCCCCTTGGCAGAATCCTTGTCCCTGAGGGTCTCCAAAACCTGAAAACAAAGACAAATTTATAAATGCTTCAAAACCCCAAGCATCAAGTGCTGACATTCTTCACTAAATCAAAGGTGCAGCCCTGCAATGTCTTGCTCACGTCATTGCTGGCAGAAGGGCCTCCATTGAAGTGTGTTCTAGAGGGCCTCCACCAGAAGGGGATCTAGAGAGCCCATACCAGAGTGTATTTGGCCTACTCTTCCATGCTAGTATTTATTTACTTGCTGATAAGTTCATATAAAAAATATGTCCATTCAGTGGCACAATGGATCCACCGACCTGAGTTTAATTCTCGGCCATGGAAAACATCAATGAAGAGCAAAAACTAAATCAGTGATCCCCTTTCCTATTCACTAAATGGCTGTGATCAGCATGGAGAAGTATGATTAAAAAAAAACATATTCCATCACCGGCACAGTGCATGCAGACCTTCAAAGAGCTGTAAATTACTATTTTATTTGTTTCCATGCATTATATACGTGTGTATATTTACGTGTGCGACGATCATTTCACATTTAAAACACATGTTATACGTTCAACTAAATTCAAATTGGTGTGTAAACACACAATATGTATCTATTTATATTTAAAAACACATGCATTCTCTTGGGAAGTTATGAGAAATGTGTGTGACAGACAGTGCAACGGGCAACTCTTACTTGTGCGGCAGGGAGAGTACTCGGAAAACTTGTTGAAGTTGTCGGAGGACAAGTAGCAGGTCCCTACTGGGTCCTTCTCCCTGTTGGTCTTCATGGTTCTCCAGTGATAGAGTGGAGCACAAGCCTACAGCACACGTGACGAAGGGAATACAAGAAGGGGGGGGGGGAATCACTTTTCTGCAATAGCAGCCTTCCTTCTCAAGGACATGGGAGAAATATTGAAGACTATTAAACCATTTTAACTTTACACAATTTTTTTTTTACCAGGTAAGGTCCAGTGAGCGATATGGCTCTTTTTTTAGAAGCGACCTGGCCACAAATGATAACTCGACCGAGTGGCTTATCGTGTGGAAATGTATCGCAGCGAAATACACTAAACGCATGTTTCTAAATGTGGAGGGAAAAACCAGAGGACCCGGGGAAAAATCCACGCAACCACGGGGAAATACATGCAAACTCCAAATATACATCAGGCGTTAGGGTCGGGATCAAGCCTCGGACCTCCTGTATACCATGCAAGGGCGTTGACATCTCGCCACCGGGCCCCTAAACATAGCCTTCACATCCTGAAGCACTGCTCAGCCATCCTGGAGTACTGCTCAGCCTATTGGCGTTTCAGAATGATATTATAAAACAGCATGTTGAAACAAGAAAACTCTTGACTGGTTTTGACATTCTGGGTTTCGTCAGCAGTAAGACTTGTAAAAAAAACATACCAGAATTTGCTTGTTTAAACAAATGCTGTTTGATAACATTGCTCTCATAAGTGGAAAGGCTGATGGACTAAAACATGTTTGAGATTTGAAAACACAAATTGCAGAAGGATGTGACACAACGGAGGAAAGATAAAAAAATTAAATCGTTTACTTTTGACTAAGCAGTAAAGAGTACTTCTCTATTGCAAATAGCAACGTTTCCTCCTCACCTATAAAATGCTAGCTAGCTCAGAGAAATACAGTTGCGTAACTATGGCCAAGAAGAACATTCTCAACGCATCTCATTTCCAAAAATAATATTTTTCATTTTGGCTCTTTACAATTCATTTACCGGCCAAATTTTTTTTTTACAACCAAACATGAAGAATAGTTTTCCCTCCTTTAACTCGAGCATATTTCACTGGTGAAAAAATAATAGGCTTTACCCTTTCCGGCAATAACACAGGCGTTAAGATGTTCAAACACCAAACAGACACCTATTGCAAGGCATGAAAGTCTGCATTAACCGCACATGCTTTTTGGTGTGTTAAATATCTTAACACCTGTATTATTTTTCGATTTAAAGCTTTCGTGACTGCAGGGATTCATATTCTTGGTTCTTTCGGTAAAGTTTTATTTTTCTTATTTCCCTTCCACGTGACTTTACCGAAAGAACCAAGAATACCTGTATTATTGCCGGATAGGGTAACGACTATTCTTTGTTGATCATCTTTATACCGGCAAACACCATTCCATAGATACGTCCCACTGGACAAAGCCAATGTATTATATTCATATTGTCATTTGCACATTACCCCTCGGTACTGTAAAAATAGCCTCAGGGCAACCTGTGCATGAAATGTGTGCGGTGAGGGCGAGGAGAAAATAATAAACAAAAACAAATCCGAGCTGCTCACCAGAACTTTGGAGCCATGAGTTCGTAGGCTGGCCCCGAACCACTGTTTGGACTTATACTCCAACTTTTCTCTCGCTTCCGTAGGCAGCGTGATCATGCGGTCTCCTGCAGAGGCAAAGCAACGTGGCAAGGCACCAACAGATTAGTGGGGGGTTTAACAATTACAGAAGGACATTTTGTGTTTGCGTAACTGTATGAACAAAAAAACGTGCAATACATTCAAAAGTGGGATGCTTATAAAAGATGATTAAACGCTGAAAATCGCAGAAAATGAGGAAGGCCTGCAAATTGAATATTTTAAGCCCTCTCAGAAAAGTGTATTACATAAGAGCAACATGCAACATGACATTTAGTGACCACTAATTGTTCACTGGACATTTCTCTTAAATGCGATATATTATAATTATGAATAATGGACAGACCTTTGTCAATCCACTGTTGGATGAAAGCCTACACACGTCTTGTGTAAGTCATAGGGGTTGTTATACCGTACTTCACCGCACTGGTCAGTGTGGATTATTGAAAGTGGGTTAGTGTGTGGTGTGGCACCACACTAAAAAATAGTGTGTGGTTGCAATCATCTTCTGCTTATAGCCCTAAATCAGTGCCAGAAATGTCATATTTCTGTTGCGGGAGCCACTCAGTGCATAGGAGAACCACTGTCAAATGGCAATCATTTCAGTGACTATGTTGGGATGATTCAACCCCCAAATGAGATTTTAACTCGAAACCTTCTAATTGTGAGTCATGCACTCTAACCACTGTGCCACCCAGTGATAATTACCGACTTTACAACGCAACTGTAAAAGTAAATATTTAATTCTACAATCTTAGTAACGTTTGAGAATTCAGACTCATCACACACACGCATCAGTCATTTCTACAAAGAACATCTGTCAAGCAAGGAAGACCATTTTCAAAACAACCACACTTTGGCAATTCAATTTGCTTAGCGTGCTCGATCAGCGGAGCGTATTTCCATGGGAGATTGTGGAGAAACCATTTCCTTCTGTTTAGGAATGTTACATAGATAAAAGACAACAAACCCAGTAAAGATCTAATCCACTGAGATGGATTGCTTCAATAATATAATGAATATCTGAGACATTACCATAAACTAAAGAAATGTTTTTTTTTACTTAAAGCTTTCGTGACTGCAGGGATTCATATTCTTGGTTCTTTCGGTAAAGTTACGTAGAAGGGAAACAATAAAATATTTTTTATTATTTTATTGTTTCCCTTCTACGTGACTTTACCGAAAGAACCAAGAATATAAAGCATTATTTGTAAAAAATAAAAAAAAGCTTTATATTTTATAATTTAAAAAGGATTGTTTGTAAAAATAAACAGACTAAAATTACTTTTTTTAAATTATCAACTGTAGGCAAAATCTAGAAAAATACACTCGTCACAAAAACAGTTCAGTGTACACGTTTGTATAAAGCACACACTTAAATGTATTTTTCCTAAACAGGACTCGCTTGACCGCCCCTTGTCTTCCCCTCCACTACCACACATCCATTCTCATATCTCCCTGTCTTTTCTACATTCCGAGAAGAAATATGGGATGGGCTCACGTGCGACCGATAAACATCAACGAAGCCACGTACAAAGAGACAAACTCGGATACGTTTTACAATACGTTTTTACATCATCGCGTGTGCTTATCGTTGCTGCTGAACCGCAAAATACAATTTTCACACGCGCGCACAAAAAAAATCCCGTTGTTTTTTGCTTTCGGGAAAACTGCACCCACTCTTTACACTGCCATGACTTAACAAAAACAAAGAATGTGTTTTTTTTTACGGCTTTAACAACCCATTTTAAAAGTTTGTTCTTTAAGACTCACAAGGCCGCTATTTAAGCTGTAAGCATAAATGCATTGCACTCATTATTTCTTCACAGATAGTGCTGCCACTTTAAAAACCTTGGCATCCGGTTACAATTTCTGTACTGCATAACACGTTTGTGCAAACTAGTTTGGCATTACTCCCACGCACGTAACAACATCCGCACGGTACCCACGCGCGCTCCCTCTCGCTCTCTCTCGCTCTGAGCGAACATGGGCTGTTAGTGATTACTTCCAGACTACATTCGTGATAAGCAGGAGCGGGTACTCGGCTCCTAAAGCCATCACATTTCAAAATGCATTCTCAAACAATGAACAGAAACATGGACAAACTGAGCTGCAATGGCAGTGTTCACATACTGTTTGTGCATTTTATTATTTGGTTTTACTGCACCGTAAATATATTGTATGTTTTTTTTTAAAAAACGTACGCTGGCACGCATGCACGCACACGAAACTTGTACAATTGTAAATAAACACAATTCCAGTACAACGGGTGGGAGTGAATGGGTAGGAGTGAACTTTACTCGAACAAAATATGCACCATATATAAAGGTAAACAGAGACAGCGTGTAATCTTGAGGAATTACCACTCTGTCTGCATTATAAGCCTTACCTCACACTTTCCATTTCAAATACAGGAGGGAAAAGTGCATAGATCCCCGATAATACGGTAGTTGATTCCCACCATACTAAGTGCAATACTGCGTCTAATTATTAACCTAAGTTGGGGGTTTGGTTTTGGCTTAATAAAGCATTTAAATAACAATAGTCTCTCAAGATGCCCTTTGAGATTTGCCTGTAGGATACAGTTACTTTACAATTTGCCAAGGGGCCCTATGCTGGGAACATGAGGGCTCTCAAGCCCATGGAGAGTTTACAACTCAGTTGTGCAAAAGTAGAGGCATCACATTGTTACATAAATGCCCATACTGGGCATATGTGAAAAAGAGCTTCATAGTTCACGAGATTCCTCCAGTATAATTAAAGGTTATGATTCTGATTTAAAAAAAAAATAGGCTAGGACAGGACATGTCCCTTGAAGGGATGAAGGCCGATGAACAAAACTGGTGATGGAAAGGACAACCAAGGAACGGAACACATCCAAGAGGAGCATCGCCACAGCAATAAGGTCAACTCATGCACAAAAGAGACACAGATTGTGGCATCGTGGGACCGTGAAAGACGATGATGACATGGGGAGAGGCCTTCATCCATCATGAAGCTGATGATTGTAATGATGATGATGCCAGACACCCTAAATCCGCAGAGCAGCCGAGCACGGAGACGACACACATCGTCTCCGCATTTACCTTTGGTGTCGAATTTGACTGTGGTGCAATCAGCATCTCCTGCCCACGGGCAATTGTAGACGGCGCCGCCTTCTACCACTCCGGGCTGGGTGGTGTTTGCCCTGGGAGCTCCGATGACGACACTCACGCTGAACAATGGAGACGTACGTAAGCGACAAATCAGATTATTTGTATATTTGGTATTCGCTCCATGTCGAAGCCCCGTTGTTGTGGCACCCAAAGATGTTTGCAGGCGTACCTACAGCCACTCACCTCTGTACCATCATCCACACTTCATGAGCAGGACAACCAAGGATTTTGCCCAAGATATAAGGCACATAGGTGTATTCTTAGCTTACTGAGATTACACATTACCATCAATTGCTTATTTAGCATATTTCATTTCATTTAGACAATATTTCACCAATGAAAATACTGTGTGTGCTTTGTAGAATGCCTTTGTAGAAATTCAGGATAACAAAAAAAACTATGCTATATGCTGTGCATACTCACAAATATGTAAGACAACAATAACAGATGCATAATATTATTTCACTTTTTATTGTGTTAATTTTATTTCTCGAGAGTGCACAATGAGTATTATATTCAAAGTTGACGTTACTGCACCAATTGGCACCTCTGTCCACTGTCTAATCAGTGTAAAACACCCAGAACCTACAACCCTTCAGGCATAAAAATGGAATTCCCACCCGTTAGTTTCTTTTCCCCAAGTTGTAATATATTTTGCTCAATTCAAACGTATGCATTCGTCCGTAATATACCTACAATGGTTCTGTTTGTTGATGGCTAACGGCATTTCGGGCCTTTGGGACTGCTGTGCAACTGTGATAATAATAATAAAAAAAGAGATAGATACTACCGTGTAAGTACTGCAGACATATCCTAATGCCACTTTTCTTATTCCAGTTTCTTGAGAATTTTCCAGAGTAAATAATTTGGGAATGACGTCTCATCTCAGAGGTCATATATTTCCCAACATGTGTAGACATTCTCCACCCAATGAAAGCATCCTCAGATCACTTCAGCTGGTACATGTGTTGGTGGCAACTGAGCAGGAAACAGGTGGCTGGGCGTCTTCCTAACCACACAATCAAACTTTCACCATGACAAGTGTTGGGGGCTCAGTCCTGTAGTATCAATAATCAACCCACCCCTTCAAAATCCTTCGTGCGTACATATATGTTTCTGCATATCTGTATTTTTCTTTCTCTGTGTCTGTGTGCATCTCCATATCTCTCTCAATATCTCCCAAATGCATTTCTCCACATCTCCACGTGTGTGCGAGTGTCTCTCCATGTCTGTGCGTACACCTCCGTGTCGCTCTCTACGCATCTCCATGGGCCGAATGATCATGGTTTGCCAGGGCCCCTGGCCTAATCTAATGTGCCTGTGTTTCCAAGCTTTCAAGGAATGTATTAAAAATCACAAATTATGCGACCACCATGACCTTCATGGCCAAATCGTAGCTATTAAAAAAGATATTGCTCTATTAGAAAGTATAGAAAGTAGGGAGTTGAGGCCTGCATAGTGGCTCACGCCCTGCTCAATGAACGTGCTTGGTAATCTGAGTTTGATTCCTGGATAAACATTTGTGGCCAGAGGTATATGGACATACATATACGTACATACGAAGCGGTCATGGGCACCCTCCCTACACTCCCCAACTCACAGACTAACCCGGTGACGTACGGTGCAACAACCACTATTATCAACATACTCTTTGGTTCTTTCGGACCATATTATCAACATAGTTTGAGGTCTTAATCCTGCAGTGGATTAATAAAGGGCTCTTTAAAAATGTTTTATATATACACCAGTGCTGTATAGTGTTTGTGCTACCTTTCAAATTGAAATGTCTCAATCTTCATGGCTGGCTATCATTACATGCAAATATATTACGGTGACCTCGCCATTAATATTTTCTTAATGAACTCTTACGTTGATTAATGAGTAACATAGCAGAACAGCACAGTAATGAAAACCACGTGGATATTTTTTTATGAACAGTATAAGCTTAATAATTATTTTTAATTAACTCTAATGTATCTGCATAAAAATGACAACATTCATGGTGGTTTAAGGGATACAACACCACAACAGACACTTGAGTTGTAGACAAGTTTTCCAGTTAATAGAAAAGTACAACATTCTTGATTTCTGCACTCAATTCAAAGTTTGGCAGCACAGCAACAATAAGTTATGAGATTGTTTACACGAACCACATCGGTTTTCATGAGTACAGTATAAACAACCTACAGTGTACGTGCTTGTAGCATGCCAGACCACAAGAAGAGTATTGAAATGTGTTGTGTTTTCCAGGGCAGACCTGGTAACTGTGTTCTTCTAAGGGAATGGTTCACCAGTGGTGGAATATCCCGCACCTCTGATTAGCTACATACGGTGAGAGAAAGAAGTGTCTACATTTACATACATCCTGTCTGTATCTTCTAAGTGATTTCGTAAATAAATGCAGATAAACGGTACAGTGGAGTATCCAGATTGTGCACTTAATTACACGCGCACATTTTTAAAACAGTGTATAGTGTGTGGATGCTTCCCTTTTAAGAAACACAATCTTTGAAGAAAAACGTGTACAAACGCAAAGACAACGAAGCCCAACTTGATATTCACGTACGCGTGGGAGTACTCTGCCTCAAACTGTCATATGGGCAAATTTATCAAATCATGTAAAAACGTCAATGTTATTATAGCTGCCCATCTTTGTCACCGAACGTAAGATTTTCTTTTCGATTTAAAGCTTTCGTGACTGCAGGGATTCATATTCTTGGTTCTTTCGGTAAAATCACGTAGAAGGGAAATAATAAAATAATACAAATAAAGCGTAATAAAATTCTCACGACGTTTCGGCCACAACGCAAGCAGCCGTCCTCAGGTGAAGAACAGAGCTGTCGGAAAGACAGCATCCTGATTAAGACGCGGAAAGACAGCGTCCTACAGCTCTGTTCTTCACCTGAGGACGGCTGCTTGCGTTGTGGCTGAAACATCGTGATAATTTTATTATATTTTATTTTGTGATTTCCCTTCTACGTGACTTTACCGAAAGAACCAAGAATATGTAAGATTTTCTCTCAAATGTCAAGATGCAGCCAAGCTGGTCGGCTCTCGGATTAAGAATTAAGAGTATCGGATGAGGGTGCGTGCTCACCAGAACGATTCATATATACAAGAGCTCCTAATTCAGGAAATAATAATGCTCATTCGAGTGACACTTTCTAAGCAAAAGCCACAAGCGTCTCTCTCTCATTGAATCAATATTTCGATTAGGCTTTGGTTTTTTGTTGTTTAAAGCCACCTGCGAGCACACCAGCCACTCTGGGAGTTGTGGGTATCATCTGGACAATGGCAAAAACAAAGTTTACATATGGCTTAAAGAGACAAGCCACAAAAACTTTTCACAAAATCATGATGTTACAGCAGTGCAAAAAACTGTGAGAACTAAAAAGGTCATATATGGCACATGCACAGTAACATCGTTAGGTCTACGCGTGGACGGAAAAGTGCTTCTTGTGTGCAGAAAAAATATCAACAAAAATGTCACCACCAGTCATTTGACATGTTTCCACAAAGCTGTGCATAATACGCAAAATAAACACTTCTTTAGTGGCCACGCATCCCAGAAGTAGCAGACAAAACACCCGTTTGGTTCAGACACTTAGCAACCCACCGGTATTTTCAACCTATTTTAAGAATTATCACTGATGTAACACAATAACCAACGCAGTAACAATGGATAACTGGAAAGTACTGTGTCAAACCTAAAAGTAATGGCACTTACAATTGTGGTAGGAAATTGAGACGCAATCAATATAAGGCAGGCAGGGCAATAACATAATTGTGTTTATCCAGTTCAACAAATATTACATTGCACCCTTAACAGTGTGACAAAAGAAAATCAGAAGCCCTAAGCGGCCCCTCAGTACTACTATACTGTACTATTTTCTAACGCATTGCTCTTAACACACTTATTCAAATGCTGAAGTCGAGTACTGTATCTAGAACTCGCTTGTTCTCTCCCTTGTTCGAGCTTGTGTATTTTTTCTAGATGTGGAAAATGGTCCTGTCACTCAAATGTGCACAGATATTCTGGCATGTGGACAGAAACGTTATAACGAACCACCGCCACTAAAATGTATGAGTGCGTGTTCACTGCGGTTAACTACCGGTGGATGGAATAATTACTCATTTCTGATGAAGCTCACACCAACTTAACGGCACTACCTGTATTCCATTTGAAATATCAGATACAACAGAAATATTCATCAATACTGTAAAAGTATTTTATTTAAAACCAAGTGAAAGATTATTTGGAGAAAAACAAGTCTTATTTTAGAGAGAGACAATGGAGAAAAGGTAACCTCAATAAAGAAATCAAATTATAAAGCTAATTATATTTTGATTTAAAGCTTTCGTGACTGCAGTAATTCATATTCTTAGTTTTTTCGGTAAAGTCACGTTGAAGGGAAACAACAAAATAATAAAATATATAAAACAATAAAAAATTCTCACGACGTTCCGACCATAACTCAAACGGTCGTTTGAGTTGTTGTTTCCCTTCAACGTGACTTTACCGAAAAAACTAAGAATATAAAGCAAATTATATTTGAAGACCGTGTACAATTGAAAACAAATTGTATTAAAATGTCTTTCAACTTGCCCTTTGAAATATCAACTTTCACTTTCTGAAACACTTGTCTTTATTTTACTGAACACTCTCTACATAATCGTACCAATTGTTTACCATGATAATTTTAAAAGTGTAATTTTATTTGGGAAATCTTCACTGTACTGTATATCATTTCTTTATCGGGGAGGGCCCTGCATTGGGATGTTTATCCAATTTTCTTGAGTTTTTTTTATATGTTGGGAGAGTGTTCATGTGCCACACCGTGCCCTTTAATCCTCTAACGAGATCTGGCAAGTGGTAATTACCACGCCAGCCTCAATGAATGATGGGGACACCTCAACATATGCTCCAACATCACAAGAGGTTAAATCACACAAGCACGCAGCGAACGTGGCACAAGCAGACAACTGTGAAAACAAAATGTTTTGCCCGTGCTGGGTTTTCTCGTCGTCATCGTCATCATCTGCCACGATCAACCCACTGCTGCATTAAGGCCTCCTCTCTCTTCTCTCTCTCTTTCTCTCACAATCTAAGGCTGACGCTCAAGAGTAATTATAGGAATGCATCTCTCTGCATGCCTCTTTGAACCACGTTAAAGTGCTGTTTGGTGGGCCGGGGTACTGGGTTAAATATTTTGGTCAGATAAATTAATAACGGTGGCAACACAACCACGCGTCAAAGAGGTAAAGGTGCGGCAATGAAAGTGGCCTTGCTCGCGTCACTGCTGGTGGAAGGGCCTCATCTGAAAGGGGAACCCAAAGGGGACACCCACAACTCTACCACGGGTACCCACGCTTTAACTCACCACACGCGACCTTGCTGAGCAACTGTAGGGGGGTTTATGAATAGGCGCACGAATCGAACCTACGACTTTGTTTGTGGGAGTCTACTGCATGTTGTTACTCTGTGTCCAGACTGCCAACATCATCGTGATAATTTCGAGCATTGCAGATTGATATGGCGACTCGCGCACGCCTAAACTGAACTGTAAATTAATTTATTTTGCCTAGTAAGACCCACTGAACTATGTATACCGTATTCTTAGTTTTTTCGGTAAAGTCACGTTGAAGAGAAACAACAAAATAACAAAATATATATAAAACAATAAAAAATTCTCACGACGTTTCGACCATAACTCAAACGGTCATCATCAGGTGTGTCGGTTTGCATAAATTTATTTTGAAAACGGCATATTTATTTATATATATAAAAAATATAACGTTTGCGTCACGCGCAACGATGGCAGTTTGCCAGGACTAGTCCATCTATTTTTTTGAAAAGAGGAGGGGGGAGACGAAATTTGTTTTTATGTATGCTGTCTGAAAGGCACTGTAAGCGTGAACAATCAATCAAGAACTGAAATGATTTATCAAATCTTTCCAATGATTGCTAAGATAGAATCCATCTTCTCGGTTGAAATTGTCTCTGTGTTTGTATATGTGGATAGCCTCATGAACGAATCTCTCATGGAAGCCAGATGGCTTACAAAGAACCTCCGTCTTGGAAAAGTCAATGGCATGTGAGCCTACTGAATTAGAACAATGATCTGCTACGGCCGAGGTGTTGGTCCTACCGTGTTTAAGGTCTGCTTTATGTTCACGAATGCGGTCCGAGATATGGCGTTTGGTTTCTCCAATGTAACTACTACCACAGAGGCAACTTAGTTTGTAGACACCAGGGTATTGTATGTCCGGAATCACATCTTTTACAGACGGAACCAGATCACGGATTTTATGTAATGTGTTGAAACGGACCTGGATCTTGTGTTTATTCAAGATTTTGGAGATCTTTTTTGTGATCCCAGCAATGTAGGGTAAAGTGATGGTTTTGAAAGGCTCCTCAAGAGGGTTCTTCTTCATGGTTTGAGTGATAGCTTTGCGGATTGTATAGTCGGAGTAACCATTAGCCCTAAGAGCTTGGTGTACGTGCTTGAGTTCACTGCTTATGTGTTCCTGGTCGGATATGCATTGGGCTCTATGATACAGAGTCTTGATGAGAGAATTCTTCTGTGATGGATGGTGGTGGGAATCCGGTTTCAGATAAGCATCCGTATGGGTAGCTTTCCTGTAGACAGAGTGGCTCATTGAACCATCAGGTCTCTTTTTAATTAGGACATCCAAAAAAGGTATCTTGCCATCTATTTCGACTTCCATGGTAAATCTGATGGCTGGGTGTATGGAATTGATGTGGTCGAAGAATTTGTCTAGAGCAGGCCGGCCATGTGGCCAGATGACAAAAGTGTCATCCACGTACCTCTTCCATAAGGTTGGGCGCAGAGTGGCAGTCTGGATGGCGTCAGTCTCAAATTTCTCCATGAAAATGTTAGCTATAACTGGAGAAAGGGGGGAGCCCATTGGGGTGCCCTCAGTTTGTTTGTAGAAAGTTCCATTCCAAGTGAAGTATGTATTGGTTAAACAGTGTCTCACCAGGGGGGGTACCTCAGTGTTTAGTCCTTGATGAACCAAGTCTTCAATGATTGCAATGGTGTCAGGTACAGGAACCTTGGTGAATAAGGAAACTACATCAAAACTGACAAGCAGGTCGTCTGGGGACAGGGAAATACCCTTGATTGTTGATACCAGGTGAGTAGAATTTTGTACCGCAGAGGTGGTCTTTCCAGTGAAAGGACGCAGGATTTCAGACAAAAAACGAGCTAGTTTGTAGGTGGGGGAGCTGATAGTAGAGACTATGGGACGAAGAGGTGTATCAACTTTATGTATTTTTGGTAAGCCGTATAATCTTGGTGGCCTGGCAGCAGAAGGTTTCAACGAAAACTGTTTAGATTGATCAATTAATGCGGTTGAATCAGAAATTATTTTGTTGGTTTGTGTGACGAGGCTGTTGGTGGGATCTCTTTTTATTTTTGTATAACTACCATCGTCGAGTAATTCTTTAATTTTGTTGTTGTATTCTATTTTATCCATGATAACAGTAGCATTGCCTTTGTCAGCTGAGAGAACTACAATATCATTCCTCTTTTTTAATTTATATAATTCAAAACGCTCATCTTTGCTGAGGTTGCTAGCTGGCATCTTAGCGTTTTTGAGGGTTGCAGCGATTTCAGATCTTGCTACGTCTGCAGCGATGTGACCCAGGCCCCTGAGAGCAACGTCTACTTGGGCAATTATATCATTAACTGGTATGTGTTTAGGTGTGACTGCAAAGTTTAGACCTTTAGCTAAAACGGATTTCAGACCATCGGAAATAGAACTGTTACTGCGATTAATTACGACTTTATTAACGTCTAACTTTTTGGTGTGTGGGTCCGGTCTTTTGTTTAAGAGGAGGTTAAATTTGGAAATCAGGTTTTCCTTACATTTGGTCGACATAGTAGCAGCTGAAGAGGCAGTCATATTGTCTACATGTTCCCAATCCGATGTGGACATTATTGCCGTCAATGATAAGTGTGATTTGTAGAGTGTCTTGTCTAACTGATCTAGTTCTGTGCGTATAAGTCCCATAGTCTCTACTATCAGCTCCCCCACCTACAAACTAGCTCGTTTTTTGTCTGAAATCCTGCGTCCTTTCACTGGAAAGACCACCTCTGCGGTACAAAATTCTACTCACCTGGTATCAACAATCAAGGGTTATTTCCCTGTCCCCAGACGACCTGCTTGTCAGTTTTGATGTAGTTTCCTTATTCACCAAGGTTCCTGTACCTGACACCATTGCAATCATTGAAGACTTGGTTCATCAAGGACTAAACACTGAGGTACCCCCCCTGGTGAGACACTGTTTAACCAATACATACTTCACTTGGAATGGAACTTTCTACAAACAAACTGAGGGCACCCCAATGGGCTCCCCCCTTTCTCCAGTTATAGCTAACATTTTCATGGAGAAATTTGAGACTGACGCCATCCAGACTGCCACTCTGCGCCCAACCTTATGGAAGAGGTACGTGGATGACACTTTTGTCATCTGGCCACATGGCCGGCCTGCTCTAGACAAATTCTTCGACCACATCAATTCCATACACCCAGCCATCAGATTTACCATGGAAGTCGAAATAGATGGCAAGATACCTTTTTTGGATGTCCTAATTAAAAAGAGACCTGATGGTTCAATGAGCCACTCTGTCTACAGGAAAGCTACCCATACGGATGCTTATCTGAAACCGGATTCCCACCACCATCCATCACAGAAGAATTCTCTCATCAAGACTCTGTATCATAGAGCCCAATGCATATCCGACCAGGAACACATAAGCAGTGAACTCAAGCACGTACACCAAGCTCTTAGGGCTAATGGTTACTCCGACTATACAATCCGCAAAGCTATCACTCAAACCATGAAGAAGAACCCTCTTGAGGAGCCTTTCAAAACCATCACTTTACCCTACATTGCTGGGATCACAAAAAAGATCTCCAAAATCTTGAATAAACACAAGATCCAGGTCCGTTTCAACACATTACATAAAATCCGTGATCTGGTTCCGTCTGTAAAAGATGTGATTCCGGACATACAATACCCTGGTGTCTACAAACTAAGTTGCCTCTGTGGTAGTAGTTACATTGGAGAAACCAAACGCCATATCTCGGACCGCATTCGTGAACATAAAGCAGACCTTAAACACGGTAGGACCAACACCTCGGCCGTAGCAGATCATTGTTCTAATTCAGTAGGCTCACATGCCATTGACTTTTCCAAGACGGAGGTTCTTTGTAAGCCATCTGGCTTCCATGAGAGATTCGTTCATGAGGCTATCCACATATACAAACACAGAGACAATTTCAACCGAGAAGATGGATTCTATCTTAGCAATCATTGGAAAGATTTGATAAATCATTTCAGTTCTTGATTGATTGTTCACGCTTACAGTGCCTTTCAGACAGCATACATAAAAACAAATTTCGTCTCCCCCCTCCTCTTTTCAAAAAAAAAATAGATGGACTAGTCCTGGCAAACTGCCATCGTTGCGCGTGACGCAAACGTTATTTTTATATATATAAATAAATATGCCGTTTTCAAAATAAATTTATGCAAACCGACACACCTGATGATGACCGTTTGAGTTATGGTCGAAACGTCGTGAGAATTTTTTATTGTTTTATATATATTTTGTTATTTTGTTGTTTCTCTTCAACGTGACTTTACCGAAAAAACTAAGAATATGAATTACTGCAGTCACGAAAGCTTTAAATCAAAATTTATGTATACCGTAGTTATTTTTTTTCAGAAGCGACCTGGCCACAAATGGCATAAGCTCAACGAAGTGGCTTGTCATCCATCGCGTGGACAATTATTGCGGCCAAATACAATACTCGATCAAAATTCTAAAACTACCGAATTTAAAACAACAACAACAACAGGTCAGCCCACGCACCCACCCATCGATGGCTTGCTTACCTGTCAGAAGCTGGCAGGTAGAAGTCCACCGCATAGCCAAAGTAGCTGTCAGCTGGACCCGAGAGGACATTGACTCGAGTAGCATCCAGATTGAAGGCGCTCGTCGACTTCACGACCATCATCAGGTGGACCAGAGAGATGACCAAACGCACCCCGATCACATCCGTCGAACAGCCTGGAGCCATCGTGAACCCCCCCTCTTTACCCACTGGTCGGGGATGGCGAACCTGTGAAGACGATGTCCGTTTTTTGGTCCGTGTCTGTGGATGGGCCGTGTCTATGGGTTGTGTGCGTGTGTGTGTGTGGTCAATAGGTTTAGGCATGCAATGTCGCGTGCAACAGTCTCTGTTATAGACCGTGTCTACGGTGATGGGTTTACAACGGTACAATGTGTGTGTTTTTTTACACAAGTGTGTCTGTATAAACCTTACACTCTGTGTGTGTCGATATGTTAGACATGTGTAGTTGGTGTGTGTGTCTGTGCCAGTCTCTATGCTATCTGTACATACAGTCCTGTAATTTAACACACGCGTGCCTGATTTAGTATCGTGTCATTTACACGGCATTGTGTGTACGTCCTAGTACAAATATGTCCATCACATGTAAACGTACGTATCCCAAACTAATCAGAACTGAGTGCGCTTGTGTGTGTGTGTCTCTCTACGGTCTAATGATTAACGTACCACAACATACCACCAGTAACAATCCTACAGTGTGGCAAAACGATGCGTAAACTTTACACTTCGCGTGTTCCTTAACGCTGTGAGCATCGGCTGAGTGTGCGTGTGCACTAACTACCCTGTTAAACTAAGCACAAACAAAAGCAATGTTCCCGTACAGTAACTAAGCGCACTTACCGCAAAGTATAATTATTTCGCTGACCGACCTGCCAAAGGCTCGCTCGTCCGTCCGCGGTTCAGATTCCCCTGGGCTCCGACGACATGAAACTCTCATCAAACAAAGTTTCGCACGCAAACCGAGACTGCTTTCGGAGCTTGCTCCTCTTTCTGCTCGCCTCCAGACCACGTAGCTTGACTTGGTGGTGGCCAAGACATCAACAGCAACAACAACAAAGACGATCGTCGGAGAAGGCAGAAGAAGACTCGTGTGGGGTGGGTAAAAAGAGGGGCTAACCCAGCCAGTTCCCTGGTATCGAAAGCGAAGTTCGCCTTTGCTGGACACAAACAGAAGGCGGAGAGGAGAAGAGAAGAGACGAGAGAGGCGGAGGGAAACGCGCTCCGCGGAAGAGGATCGGGCAGGACACGGGGGCCCCGGGCGAATGGGGGGAGAGGGGACCCGGTGGTGGGGCAGTGGGGTGGAGCGAAACTTGCGAGAGAGCGAGAGAGGAGAAGAGGGAGGAGAGGAGGCGAGAGAAGAGGGGAGAGAGAGGGGAGAAGGGAGTGCGTTGTTGGCGTGGAGTGGCAACTTGGCCGAGTGTTGCGGCTCGCTGCCTGTGGAGATTGCCCCTTGCCACTCTTGTTAAGGCTATACGGGGGATCTTTATCTTTGTGCGTGGGTTGGGGTTGGAACGGTGGTGTTGCGTTTAGGGGCCGTCCATAAATGACGTCACGTGGTTTTGGGGGATTTTTTGACCCCCCCCACCACTTCGTCACACGGCGTCAGAAAAAGTCAGACCACTCCCAAATATGACGTCACAAAGCTCTGCCCCCCCCCACAAAATCATATTTCCATTTTGAAAATAAAACATGCTTCAAATCGCTTTAAACTATTGTCATTGTAAGTGCGTACTTAATGTGGCGCTGCACTCTGATGCTGTACGAGAAAACATTTAATAAAAAGTCTATTTAATTTAGTAGAACGTGTTGTCTATATTTATTCAAAGTTGCGCATTTTGATGTGACGTCACATTTCTCAAACCCCCCCCTCCTCCTCGTCACACATCGTCACAAATGTCTGACCCCCTCCCCCCCCCAAGGTGCGTGACGTCATTTATGGACGGCCCCTTAGCACTGCGCTAAGTTCGATTTTCCGCTCACAGTCACCAACATCCGCTGACGGATTATCTGAACCGGTCCTGGGTCTTCCCTAGGTCGACTCAGCCTCAAATGAGTATCTGGTGCTGTGTGTAATAAAAACATCGTCACTTGGGGAAACATCACTGGCCCCGTTCACTTCGTTTATGGCCCTTGGGCTACACCCATTTCAAAACTTTAAAACAGCCTGCATCGGCAGGCTTTCCCCCTCTACGTTTTTCTTCTGATGACGATTGCTTGTGTTGCGATCGAAACGTCGTGATTTTTTTTAATTATTATTTTTCATTAACTTTATTTTTATTATTTTATTTTTTAATATTTTTTTCTATCTACGTGACTTTACCGAAAGACCCAAAGAATATGAATTCCTGCAGTCACGAAAGCTTTAAGCCAAGATCAGGACTTATTGTCGTGGGCACGGATAATAAGATCTGCCAAAAGTGCCAGCCATATAATATCATGTGGTGAAAAGGCATTTCTCTGCACCTAATTATGTGGACACAAGTATTTTTTGTTATTCTTTCGTAATATGTATTACATTTGTATTTAGTATTACTTTGCGAATAGGCAATTTGGCCACACGTTGACTTGTTTATTGCAACAAAGAAAAAGACGATTTTTAAGTACATTTACACTGCTAGTATTTGTACCATATTTTAATATAGGCACCGGAAGCCACTAGAAATAGGGTGGTTACTGATGGTTTCCTTTGATAAAAACATTAAGAGCACCTGTCTGGAAGGTTTTAAAAAGCGCCCGCATGTCTTTGTGAACCAGCAGACTCACCAGTCGTGCAGCACTGCATGTGGCATTGCCCACATTACGTAAACCATTTCAGGCCTCTATTTTCCGGTGACGATTTTATGTCCTGTGACTCACAAATGAGCAGACATGGGTTTTAAGGTGTCTCGACTCCAATCACTTGTAGTGGCAGTCTACGTTAACAAACCAAAGCATTCGTTTAAAACTGGCTCTAACCGGAATAGCCACTCCTTGTTAGCATAGTGTAGTTTCGCACTGTAGTCTTGTTTTAAGAAAATGTGGATGGTAATATCACATTCCACAATTTCTAAATAATAATCAGGACACAATTATGGGTCGTGCCTGAACATAACCACAGCCCATGGTGCCAAGCATTACGAGCGCTTCATCCAGTAGTAAATAGAGAATGGCCCACGAGTGTTAACCGTTACAATCTGCATGGGTGTATGGCTACATGGACATATTGTTCATAATAGACGACGCTGTAAAAAGTGGTAAAAAGCTTTTTAGTGTTTAACATAACAAAAGTTGGTCAATGGTGCAGCCAATGCTGGCGGAAGGGCTTCCACTAGAAAGAGATCAAGATAGCCCCTCTGAATGGTATTTTGCCTACTCTTCCATGCTAGTCAGACGTCTCTGAAAATAGTAGCCACACTTTATCCCACCACGCGCGAACTGTGCAGATCAACTATGGTATAACCATTAAAATACTTTACTACGTCTAACCTTTATACCTCGCTCTTATTCACCAGTAGGTGTGATGTTCTTAAACACGTGCTTAGCTAGATAGAAAAATAATAATAAAGTTAATGAAAAATTATTTTAAAAAAACATCCATGTAGACTGTAGCCTGGTACTTAATCAGAGTGAGTGTACTGGCAGTCAATAATGTAGACTGTAGCCCGGTTATTAAGTTTGGTGAGTGTACTGGCAGTCTATAATGCAGACTGTAGCCCGGTTATTGTTTGGTGAGTGTACTGGCAGTCTATAATGTAGACTGTAGCCCGGTTATTAAGTTTGGTGAGTGTACTGGCAGTCTATAATGTAGACTGTAGCCCGGTGATTAAGTTTGGTGAGTGTACTGGCAGTCGATAATGTAGACTGTAGCCCGGTTCTTGGTTCTTTCGGTAAAGTCACGTAGAAGGGAAACAATAAAATAATACAAATATAAAACAATAAAATACTCACGACATTTCGACTGCAACACAAGCAATCATCATCAGGTGTGAAAACCACAGCAAGAAAATTTTCTAATTTTCTTTTTGTCTTGCTGTGGGTTTCACACCTGATGATGATTGCTTGTGTTGCAGTCGAAACGTCGTGATAATTGTATTGTTTTATATTTGTATTATTTTATTATTTCCCTTCTACGTGACTTTACCGAAAGAACCAAGAATATGAATCCCTGCAGTCACGAAAGCTTTAAATAAAAAATGTAGCCCGGTTATTGTTTGGTGATTGTACTGGCAGTCTATAATGTAGACTGTAGCCCGGTTATTAAGTTTGGTGAGTGTACTGGCAGTCTAACTGTAGCCCGGTTATTAAGTTTGGTGATTGTACTGGCAGTGCTTCGCTCTTTGTTTACACAGCCTTACGGCACTCAATAAAGGGTGTTAAGACTTCAAACACAATCACGGGGAGCATCAATCAAGATGCTCAAAGGCTGCAATGTCTGTGAATACCATGACAGCTGTTACTAACCTCAGAAAGAGACATGCCTAGCAATAACATGTCCCTCTAGCTCTACACACGACATTGAAAACGTATTTTAAAAAAATATGTTTTAGTATTGGGATTTACTGTACCTGCCTATCAAGAAGAGGACATAGCAGGATAATACACACCTGATGATGATTGCTTGTGTTGCAGTCGAAACGTCGTGATAATTTATTGTTTTATATTTTTTTATTTTATTGTTTCCCTTCTACGTGATTTTACCAAAAAGAACCAAGAATATGAATCCCTGCAGTCACGAAAGCTTTAAATCAAAGGATAATACAGCTTTGAGTGAAAATATGGGGGGGGGGGGGGAAGGCACGTGTATATAGTTTGAAGATCGGTGTTTAAAATACTATGTTAGAGCAGGGAAAGCGGGTTAAAATGACAAAGGCTAGAGAGGGAATTTAGATTATATTAGAGGCGCAAACGAATTGAGAAATAGTCAATTGCTGTCGAAAATTATTTGAGCCTGGGCTTGAACAAGGGGAAGGGTTCACAGTTGTGCAGTCAACCAGAGGAAGGGAATACCAGGCAATGATATCAGCTTCAGAGAAGGAGCCATCCTCCCCTTGAGCAAAGGTTAAGTGTGGAATGACTAAGGGTTCATATTGTATGGACGTGCTTTATGCTAAATGTAACGTGAACGTTCAGTACAGTACCCTCTTACTGTTGTCGTGTTGGCTGCAGTGATGTCTATGCAGACACGATGTACTCCGAATAGGCACTTGGTAAAGATAAAGAACATGTTGGGACGGTGCGGTGATGGAATGTGGGATTCCAGGACACTGACTCATGGCCCGCAAGAGTGCTGACTAAGCAGGACGCTGTCTCGCTCCCCCACTCCATGCCCTGCCTCGCCACGCCTGCCATCTGCTGAGCTGTACAGGGTGGTCTAAATGTCTTGTGACCCTCAATTAATTGACCCCAGACATTTTTTTCCTTTGCATGTGCATTTCTGTTGTAAATAAACCTCACTTTAAAACTATTTAAAGTTTTGGAGAATTAACTATAAAAACTATAAAGTGTTTTTATTTGAAACTATTTTTTATTTTACCAGAAAAGGCCCTCTGAGCTATATAAGCTCTTTTTCAGAAGTAACCTGGCCACAAATGGAAGCTCAACGAAGTGGCTTATCTCATCATTAGACCTCCTTTGGCAGTACCAAAATATAATAGGGTTTTCCCCTCTTTTCTGGCAACAAAACTGAAACCTTTTTTCAAGGAATCATGTGTGCATTAACCACAATACTTGTGGTCAAAATGCAAACAAAACAAACTCTGATAACATATGAATTGTCTTTGAAATTGAATGGTCCACACCAGAGACGGTTCAATAGAAATACGTCTCTGGTGTGGACCAATCAGTTTCAAGGACAATGCATATGTTATCATAGTGTTTTTTGTTTGCATTTTGACCACAAGTATTGTGGTTAATGCACACATGATTGGGGATCACAGGACATCTAGACCACCCTGTACACAGCACTGCCATTTGCAACGTTAACACATTGCGACAATCTTCAGCAGTACGATTATCTGTATCCAGATTTCCTTCGGCCACATTATTTTACAAATACCTACTATAATCACCCAATAATGTCTGTCCTGAACGCTCGTGACGTCACTCCACATCGACCAGCCCCCCTCATTAATATTCATCAGCAGATGACGTCCTCCAAATGACCACCCCCCACCCCTCCTCATTAATAATCATGAGCGGGTGACGTCACTCAATATGGAATACTCCCCCCACTAATAATCATGCGCGAGTGACGTCACTCCACATGGACACCCCCCCCCCCCCCATTATTACCTACTATATAATGAGCCAATGTGTGTGTGCAACGCTCGTGACGTCACTCCACGTCGACCAGCCCCCCTCATGAATAATCATGAACAGGTGACGTCACTCCACATGGAGCACCCTCCCCCCTCATTAATAATCATGAGTAGGCAACGTCACTCCACATCGAACAGCCCCCCCTCGTTAATAATCAGTATAAGGTG